TCCTCATATCCATGGTTCCCTTTCCTGTCCTGCCACGAGGCAAATAAAGTCTCTTTCCTCTTCGCTTCGGTAGACATCGCCGCTTTCCCGGTACATCGGCCGGATGTCGTCGTGGCGTTGCTCGACCGGAACCGAGTATCTGAAGACTGAATTCATGAGAGTCGGCGTGCGGAGGGTCAACTCATTCGACCGAGTATCCTCCGTCTAGAGGCCTGAGCCCTGAAGAGCAGAAGGGTGAACCATTGGTCCTCGCCCCTCAGATCGGCACGACTATCACACATCTTGCCCCTGACCGGAGGAGTCCTCTTCAGGCACACGGAGGGATCTCTCTGCAGCATAAGGAGTCCGATTGCACGGATCTCGAACAATGACTATCCTGTTTTGGCAATTGCACGGCCTATTACTCCGTACATGGGACCATGATCAGGGACGGGAGGACACCACCGTCGTCCGTGTTGGTTTCAGGATAATAACTAGATAGGACGGAGTAATCGGCAATGGATACGGAGTATTATCCTGCGGGCTCCGTCGGAATCCTGAGAATGGATTCAGAGTGTCGCTTTGGGATGGAAATTGCGGGCATTAGCAGTGCGACTCCACCGGTCAGGGGACAAGCTTCCTCTACTGCGCACTAATCCTTAGATCTCGTTAGAGGTTCCATCTTATCATCGGAGCACCTACGGAGTTAGCAACCTGATACCAGTACTACTGTTTAGATCTAACTGAGTCTGTCATGCGCTACATACATGAAAAGACAAGCTCTGTGGTCCTACATTCTGTGGATGAATAGAAGACTTCTACAGCGAATCCCGAATAAGCCCGTCCCTACTTCCCCACAGCTCGCTCATATATATTCTCCAGTTTTCAGTGTTACTTAAATTAACCTAAAGCAGATTTAATATTGGCATACTTCCAGATCAATTCTGAAGACACGCCGAACCAATTCGATAACCGATCACACCGCCTATCAATATATCCGCAGACAGAAAATTGTCGTGAATACAGTACTGCAAATCGGACCTCGTCCTTAGTTCGCTGCAGTTATGACTCTCGCTCCATCGGATTCTTCTTCCTGTTTTGTCTAACTGATCGTCCAGTGGAGCCAACTCTTGCCAACCATTCGCACTAGGACAGGTCCACAAGGCCCTGAATCCCTCCCCGGTCCCCTATCCTCATTTCCCAGGCTCCATCCATGACGCACGAAATTACTACCTGGGTACTTATTGTAGATATGCATCAACCGTCCCCAAGTGGCCTTGGGATCTTCGGTGTAACCATATTTAGTACCATAGAATGGTGCGAATGATGCAGGCCTCTGCCACACTGGGAACGCATAGACACGAAGTTCTCATGGCTGCAGCCTCATAAGCTGATATCAGAATGCCAAGTGCTATCTGCGTTCATTCAACCGTGTCCATCGGGTTCGTTGAATCTCCAAGGAGACTTCCAGCGATCTAGATGGCTAATCCTGCTATCCGGCTGGTGCCGAAGTCTACAAGCAGTGCTCCGGTATATCACCAGACTTACAAATTGGGAGATGGTAAGAAGCCAAAGATTCATATCTTCCTAAAAAATAGTAATTATGAACAACGGAATATCTTAATGTTTTATCGTTAGCTACATTACTTAGACAGTTCGGGTCTAGCAGTACAGTGGTCAAAGATATACTTTTGGTATCGTCTGTGCTCTGCACGGAACACCACCGCATCACATAAGAGGACCTCGGAATATCTGTTTGTGCCAGAAGATGCCTATCTCTACAACGGCCACCGTTGTCGACGATATATACTCCGTATAATGCTCTTCGGACACCTCCGTGACAGTTGGCGGATCCCCCTCCGATTAACTTCCTAAAGGGGAAATTTTAGTCAATGCCTAGAATCGCCGCATCAACACGAACTGACTAGCTACCTATCTTATACGCAATGGACTGGACTCTATCGCACTCACCATCCATCTTGATCGCTCAACAATATTTGCTTCTCTCCGCACTAACAGTCAATATCCTCACCAAACTCGTCCTTCAAAGATGTTACTTCAACTTCTACAAGGCGTAGAAGCACCCACAATCATATATACAACGACAGCTCTATCGCTTCTCCTCAGCCTCATCGTAACGGCTCTCATCCAAACCGGCAACATCTCCACAACCCGCAGAAAACTGCGCCACCTGCAGCAACATGGGGTCTCCGCCAGTAACATGACAGATCAATATGATCCCAAGTACAACATTCCAGAAGACACGGTCCCAGATGGACCGATTCGCGTCAAGGCGATATACATCCACCCGGTGAAATCCTGCGGCCCAGTCGAGATGCATCGCGCCTTGTTAACGAAGACTGGGTTTCTCTACGATAGATGTTTTGCATTTGCAACCGAGATCACCGACGCAACGGGCTCGAAGTGGCGATTCATCAGCCAGCGCACCAAGCCCATTATGTCGCAGATCAAGACTGAACTATGGCTTCCCCACGACAAGACCAATGTCCACGACCCTCTCGTCCAGGCAGGCGGCTGCGTGGTCCTGACATTCCAAGACCCAGAACCTCCCAGCTGGACAGCCCGACTCGAGACAATCCTGCACACCTGGGACCTCTCATCAAAACCACAAACTACCCTCATCGTCCCCCTCCAACCAACCCCAGCACAAACATCCCGCTTCCAAATCCGCCTGAGAACCTTCGGCATCCACAGCCGCGATGCCCAGGGCCTGGACCTGGGCACCGTCCCATCCATCGCAGCCGCCCTCCCCAAGCTAAAGACCTTCCTCGGAATCCCTCTGACCCAACCCCTCACCCTTCTACGCTGCACACCCGACACACTCACCCGCACGGATCGCAACCTCGCTCCCCTCAGCCACATCGGCACGCCCTCCGTACACGGCTACACCGACCAGCAACCTGTCCACATCAACAGCCTGGCCTCCGTGCACTCCGTATCATCCCTCCTCCCACCAGAGAACCGGCCCCTCAACGCGCTGCGCTTCCGCGCGAACCTCTGGATATTCGGCGCGCCAGCCTTCGACGAAGAATCCTGGAAACGGTACCGCATTCTGCCGCGAACGGGCGGCGGACCGCGCGCGGAGGTCAACCCCACACTGTGCGTGGTGTGTCGGACGTCTCGGTGCACGATGCCGAATGTGGACCCCGACAGGGGGGTTTTCGATGCGGATAGCCCGGCTCCCGGGAAGAAGAGGGGGAGGCCGCAGCCTAGCACGACGCTGGTGCGGTATCGGACTGTTGAGGAGGGGAATCCGGCGGCGCTGGGGTATTTGGGGATGCATTGCGTGCCGGAAGATAGGGGTTTGGAGGAGGCGAGGGGGCAGGGAGTTGGGCTGTATGTGCAGGTTGGGGATGAGATTGAGGTGCTTGAAAGGGGGGTGCATTTGTATGGGTCTACGGGGGGTGACTACTAGCTGTTGAATAAGTGCATAACGTGGCAATAACATGATATCTATGTTCTGGAGATAGGAGCTAGTGTTGAACTCAGTATTCTACATTGCAGATGCTAAGAACGGTCTCCCAAGGCCATTCAGGCCTACGCCGTCGATTCAACGGAGACCTTCCGCTGACGACGAGACTCACGCCCCTTCTCAGACCACGGAAAATGCAGCACAGGCACGATGGAGAAACTATTACTCGTATCCGCCAGTCCAGCAAACGCATTATACCACGCCAAGAACGACCCAAGCAGACAGAAAAACCCACCCGCCTTGCGAATTGTCGTGTTGGGCATACCGTGGGCATCGCGGTGCATGTATGCGATGCCGAGCAGAAGGATCGCCAGGTCGACGACGAAGAAAAGGAAAAAGAAGGCAAAGGTGGATTTCAACGTGCACATCATCATAAGCGTGGTGAAGATGAACCAGCCCTATAGACATATTAGGTTGTCATCGCAGGATATAATAGAGGGAAGGTCTGACCATCAACATCAACGCAAAAGAGTCATAGAACATGGTCGGTTTACCCCCACCGGCCTCGGTCAGGGAGGCCATGATATTAAATCCGCCGGGAGTGAAAATAATACCCACGGAGATCCAGAACCCGCCATACGAGGAGAGAACTGTAGCACCGAATGTGTTTCCTACTGCCATCTCCCTGTCCACCATCAGTATGCATTGAATGCAGGGGCAGAAAGCGAACATACCACATGCCAGAGAGCAGCTGCACCAAACCTCCATACGCAAAGGCAAGCCCGATCAAAATATTCGGCTCGGTAACTCCCCGCACTTCCATCTCAATCAATCCCAAAACGAACGTGCTCAACGCAAAGGCGCACAATCCCAAGGGCGCCGGGTTGGCGATCTTGCGATCCTTGACGGGGCGATAGAGACCAGGTTGGAACTCGCCCCCAAAGGCTGGGAGACGGGTCTCCGTGGGTTGGAGCTGGGCCATTGGGTAGGCATAGTCGATGTGGGTAGATTGACCAGTCTGATGATGGGTGAGGGGAGGAGAGGCGGTGCTGATCTCGTTGATATCGAACTTTCCATCGGAGTCGGCGGGGGATGTGGAGGAAGACATGATGAGTGGCTTGACCTGGACTTGCTCAGGTTTGTACAGTAGCTTCCTGAGGAGACAACTGCAGATTAAATAGACACCGCCAATACTATCCCACTACTCATTGTACAGGTGTAGATTTCAGCATCCAAGCGGATCATACCCACCGCAAGTCTCTACTCCTCCACATGGAAATCATTGGAGTCACCATCATCCTAAACGTCACTATATTGGACGGCATTTTTATCGGGAGTGCCATCTTCCCAGTATGAGAACTACAAGAGATCGACATGGTAGACGATAGTATGGACACTATCCAAACGCGGACGGTCTTGGGGGAGGGACCGGTGGATCGCGGAGCTCTGTGGTGGAACGTCTCCCCTTTTCCTTTTCCCCGGGGTAGATTCTGGGGTTTGCGGGGTGTCGCCCAGCCCAGTAACAATGAATCAATGGATAGACTCGCGACCCTAAATTTGGGTTTTGGAACTGCCGGCGCCGCATGTCGGCAGTTGGCAATCTTGATAACTTTATTTGCTGTCTTGTTCCTGCCGATACCAGAACCGACACGGCGGTGGAGAGCGCAGAGGCCTCTTATAATGAGATGGTGGAACAGCCAAGACCGGCTGTCAGAAGGGCAGAAGGCTGGGCATTGCACAGATGGAAGGACTAGCGAGTGCCATTCTGGATGCTGCGGTGCCTTGCGGTATGCCTAGGCATGTCCAGGCATTGCAATTCACAGCTTTAGCGGTTGTTATGATGGAACTTTATGGAAGCCAGCTCTTCATTGTGTAATGTAGACGTAACGACGGAACTGGGGACATGCAAGTAGATGGCTATGCAACGATAATAGGCCTCCATACAGGTACAGTCGAGAACCCAGCACACATTAGTTCATCAATGAAATCCGCAGTCAGTGGTAATCGTAAACCTCCCGCATCTTGGGTGTGATTGACGAGACAGTATGGGCAAATTCATTCTCGACCCACGGCTTCCACTCCCAGTCAACCCAATCTCTGAATTCCGACGTTCCTCTGTTTCTCCACCGTAGCACTGGAGATATGTATTTGCCAAGGACTTCCTTCGATATTTCCGCATATCATCAGGCACACGGCCGAAGAGAACGTTGGCAAAGTCAATAAAAACCAAGTTTCTGCCGTTTTCATGTGAGAATGTAGCATCCACGATCATCACATTTCTAGGACCCACGGCTTGGAGGAGTATATCCCTCTGATATAGGAGGCTTTCAAGGTCGACTATCGCCTTGAGCATCTGCTGTCGTGTCTGTTGGGAGAAGTTCTTCGGGTTTGCCTGCTGCATCGATGACCGTGGTATATACTCCAGCAGGATCAGTCGAACGGTGCGCAGCTCAGGCCCCTCAGTCGGGATTTCCAGTGAAAAAGAAGCATAAATCTTGGGTATTGACTTTCTCTGGAAGTCGGAAAGTTGGTGATACGTATGCACCTCGTGAGTATAGTGGTTGACGACGCAACGGAAGGGATTCATGTAAGGGCCATCGTCACAATACAGCGGGTCGTACACCTTTGCCACCAGCTGCATTCCCCGTTGGACACCCGAGAATTCAGACCGGGCCTCGACAATAAAGACCTGTGTGTGGTGGCCATCTCCCACTCTGATGATATCCTGGATGTTTAGTTCCGTAGTGCATGGGTCCGAACTGCCAGCCAGCGGAGGGTTTCGTAACAATTTTTTAACTGGACTGAGGCTGTTCCATTCCTCTATTTCGGCCATGGATCTGAGACAGCACTGGGCAGTGATGGGCGTTGCTGGAGAATAGGTATGTTCGCGAACGGTGAATTCCCCAACCCTTAACATACGGGACATCTGGTTTTGGTAGATCACGACCCACGCCTCTGGTGCTGCAGCTCAGAGATTCAAGAGCTCTGATGAGCGGAGAAAGGAAGGACAACGGATGATCAATGCATTGGCAGGTCACGAGACGAGTAGCCGGTAATTCCACATGTTCCCCCGTAATTGCCAAAGCAGCAAGCAGATGACTACGAAGGCAGTTACTAGTCTATATCCCACATTATCGACACGTCCTATGGTCACCGCAGTGGTAACGGAGCGTTGCGGGGATGTCCGCAGTCGAGGGATACTGAATAGTTATATTGTAAAGAGTAACTCCATCAGCACCTAAAGAAAGAAGGATGCTATGGCAGGTAAAGTTAAAATCTAACCTCCCACTCGCTACCTTGCGACCTGGATGGACATGGAGCATTATTCTTTGTGCAAAGGAAGACACGGAGATAATCGAGAGATCTTCCGCTGACATATAGTTCCTGGTATATCCGAGCTGCGGGAGCAGTAGTCGATCATACTCCGCATGTCCTATCGGTATCTGTCTTTCCTTAGTACAGTGGGTTCTCATTGTTCTCTGTCAATTGGTTTCCTTACTATTTACAAACGGAACAAATTAACATCTCGGATATACGGAAATATTGGTCGCTGCAGAAGCGTCACTCGAGGCATCTATTTAAGTGGTCCGATTTCTTTTGTATCTTTCCTATACCACAATCTAAAATAGACGGAAAAAAGACAAACATTACGTGCTACACCCATCTTCGCGCATCATGACTTCAACAAAAGAACAACTTGCCCTGGCCGATAAGCTCTTTCCATGGAGACCCTCTCAAGGACCAAAAGCGGTCTTTCCCACCTTCGACCCATCACATCGCCAGCTCAAGGACACCGACTACGGCATGGACATTGAGTACAACCATGACGTCCCTATGAGGGACGGCGTGAAGCTGCGTGCCGACATCTTCCGTCCGCTGGATCCAGCCATCACTCAGATTCCAGTCGTCCTAGCTGTAACCCCATACGGCAAGCAAAGTCCGTCCGATGTCACCCAGATACCACCGAGCAAGGACTTCGATCCTGGGTTTGACGGTGTCCGTTTTTCCAAGCACAACGTTTTTGAGGGAAGCGACCCGGTCTTCTGGGTCAAGCACGGCTTCTCATATGTAGCTGTTGATGCCAGAGGAAGCTTCGCCTCCGAGGGGGAGAAAGCATCATTTGCCGCTCGGTCTGACGGTATAGATGCTTATGATGTTATTGAATATCTGGGCACACGGCCTTGGTGCAATGGACATGTGGGCATGATTGGAGCAAGTGCGTTGGGGGCTATTCAATGGTGCGTTACTCGACCGCGAGTTCATCCCTAGGAAAAGACTAGTATCTAATTCTCGTCCCTACAGGCAAGCGGCGGCCCTCCGACCACCTCACCTCTATGCAATCATAGTCCAGGATGGGTGGACATGTTTGTACAGAGAGCTGGCTTGGAAAGGTGGTATCATACATCCGAACTTCATGCAGGCTCTCAATGACAAATGGATGTCTCATGGCAACCGCGTCGGTACCCCAGTCATCGACCTTAGGCGAGCCTCGGAAGAACACCCTTACATTGACGATTTCTGGCGGCAGTTCCAGCCCGCTGTCCAGAACATCACATGCGCGGTGTACGCCATCTCCAGTTTGGCCGACAATGGGATTCATACACCTGGCACCATCCGTGGATATCTGGGCGCTTCATCTAAGATCAAGTATCTTGAACTCCATCCGTACGTCTGATAATTCCCTTCCTGCTAAATCATGGGTCTAATAATGCCTCATCGGAAACAGATATCGCAAATGGGAGTGGCAACTCACTATGGAATCATTGGAGCGCCAATTGGCCTTCTTCAATGCTTATCTCAACGGCCCCGACGGCCACTTAGCGGCTTCGGTTCAATTCTGGCCTAGAGTGAGACTCAATGTGACCGAAAAACACAATGCTGGGACATGGCGCAGTGAGAACGAATACCCCATCGCCAGGACTGTCCGAGCCAAATACTACCTAGGTGCGGGCGGACAGCTCTCATCGGCTCCTTTCCATACCTCTGACGCGACTCCCGCCTCCGTCTCTTATGTTGCTAATAGAGGCTCCGTCTTTTGGCAAACAAAGTTCTCCGAGCCGACTGAAATCACGGGAACTTCTCGTCTCCATCTCAAGTTGGCAACCACCTCCACCGATGCGGATATATTTGTCACGTTACAAAAGCTTGATCGGGACGGGAACATCGTTTACTTTCCCTACCACACATTCATTAACGATGGCCATGTCGCATGGGGGTGGCTACGCGGCTCAAAAAGAAAGCAGGCTCCTAAACAGTCCACGCTTGGTGACGAAGTCGACCACACATACCTAGAGGCGGATGCCGAGTTCTTACAGCCCGGAGTCCCTGTCCAAATGGATATTGGCATTCAGCCAAGTTCGACTCTATTCAGAAAGGGCGAATCTCTGAGACTCGTGGTTCAGGGGCGAGATTTTGGTGAGTACAGTCCCGCCTGTGACATCCCTCGGGCGGGATCAGGTATCAATGGCGCGGATACCCATTTGGTATTCCTGGATGGAAGCTATTTAGAAGTGCCATTAGTACCAAGTAGCTAGTGTCTAGACAGCCTGTGGAGATTCTGGCTGCGCAAGCTAGCCAGGTCTGTACTTTGGTACTCCCATAAAAAGTAAGTGTAGAGCCAATGATCTCCAAAGTACGATTCTTTCCTTCGCATCGTCAAATGTCTGCAGATAGATAAAATTGCCAACTTCGCTCATGTAGACTTTCTAGATTGAATGCAAGTGCGACGGAATAGTCCCTCCGCCAATTCCGCTTAATACTGTGTGGATTTCCAATGCACCACTTCGGAGCGGAATTCCAGCGTCTCGCTCATACAGTCTACCAGGACCGTGGAGTCTCGGCACCGCCGTTTTAAAGAATGGGGTGGTCCGGACACTATCTATCATCCCGACCTGTACCGTTCTCGTCCTACTTATTGTGCTTGAGGATACTATCCTATCAGATGTGTCTGCAGAAACTGTGACCACCGCGTCGACCTTGTTGTGTCAATATGTCAGCTGTGGCTAAACTCCACATATGCCCAACATGCGAAAGGGGTTTCCGACAACGGGGCCACTTGCAGCGTCATATGCTCTCGCATACTGCGGTGCGACCCTTTACCTGCAGCAGCTGTGGTCGTATGTATCGTCGGTCTGATGTTCTAAAACGACACAAAAGTGTCTGTTCGCCAAACCAAATTGCGCCTGTCAGTTGGAAAAACAGCTTGACTCTGTCTGAAGATATGCCTTGTGCCCAGGCCTATTTCTGCGCAGCTACAACCCAAACCTGCCACACTGGAGAGGAGCAAACGCACTTCCTAACAAACTATGTACATCATTCCAGGTTCAGCAGTGGCATGCTGGAATTCGCACTCCATCTTGATGACACTTATGTGGCCCAGTTGGTTGGAGAATCCAAGAACTTTGTTCAAGGGGCCATGTTTGCGGATGTGTCGCATCACTCAGATACTGCACCGCCTCAGGGCTTCGTGTTCTTTAGACAAGCCAGTCTTGTCTATCTCCTAGATTGTGGAACCCTGGAACAGAGAATACTGTCAGAACTGAAAAGAGGGGTGTCTGGTCAAGGCAGACAGAGAGAGGTGCTCTCTGTTGTCTCCGCAGACATTGTCGGACTGATCAAGAAGTCCACGCTCTCAGCTCCTGACAACATATTCAACCTTCCCAACTGGTCATTCGCTACAGAGCAAAGATGCCTGCGATTCTTTTCGGCTGACAATCTTCGAAAGCTCTTGGGATTGTACTGGGCGTCCTGGTACCCAAACATCAATTTATTGCACCGAGCGAATTTCGAAAGAAATCCGCCCAATTCGGTTCTAGTGGCAGTTCTGGCAGTTCTTGGTCTGCTCCTGCTTTCCTTTCACAAGTTTTCGCCATTACTAGCAAGCCTCGCTGACCATTTAGCAGGGGCCTACGTCTCTTCCGATCCTGCAGACAACGAAGACGCCCGATTCTGGTCTGGTCCTGTTGAACTGATAGTTTTTCCACATTCTTCTGTTAGATATCACGAGACTACTTCCTTCCGAGTTGAACATTCAGGGTCTTCAGGCCGCACTCATGGTGTGTTTTTATCAGTACTTGGAAGGCACAGACTCTACTCAAAGACGGATTTGTCTCGATCAATTCCCGGACCTTGTATCAGTAAGTGGGATCAGCCACTCTGGGTCCGAATCCTTTTCAATCAATCCACTAATCCAGGTTGCCTTAGAGGGCCCGCGAGGTGGGTTTCTACACAGCCAAGCATCCGTCCTACGATGAGCAGAAAAGAGACGAGTTCAACTGGAAAGAATTTGTGAAAAGAGAAGAGCTGATCCGGTGAGGACTTTGCATGACCGGATTGTACGATTGATATTGACCCGGTTTTTCCCAGATTATTCCTCGGCCTTTTTCTACTCGATGCTGTATTTGTCATGTTCGAGAATCTCTCCCCTCAAATGGATTTTCCGGAGTTGACCATGCAGGTGGCCCTGCCAGAAGCTTGCTTCCAAGCAGCCAGTGCGAACGAGTGCTATGAGCACCTGCAATTATTGGCGGAGCCCGGGGGCCTTCCATGGAAGATATCCATCTGTGAGGCACTTCAAATGCTCAGTCGAGATCAGTTGGAGCTACGAACACGCGTCTGGTTCTCCACACTGGATCCTTTGAATTTATTTGCCTTGGTATCAGGCACGTCCCCCGGGTGCGAAAATTCAATTAAAGAGTTTCACAGGGAAGCTAACGAAATTACACCAAGGTATCCATATTATGATTTTCCAGGCTCGAAAATTGAACTTTATTTCACCACGCGTAGAGACGCTTCAGGCCGCATTGCGAAATTGGAAGGAATATTGGGAAATCCTCGCATCGTCCTTGAAAGTACTCCAGAGATCCGCGGTCCGAAGCGCCGATGAGTTTGATTTGGATAACATGTGGCGCCGAATCGGATTCGTCCGTCACTGTGATGAGTTCTGGTTGCTTGGTTCTCTCATGGTCGACGACCTGGTGCTTAACTTGCAGTGGCAACGAGGCCCACACTCCGGCCTAGGGCTTGGAAGCGAAGCAGGTTCAGATGTGCCTAGCCAGATCATGAAGTGGTATCAGCCGCTGAAAGTTGGTGATATTTGAGAAACAAAGCTCGTTTTAAGGGCGATGACATCTGTTCTACTGGGGCACTGCAGGCGCCTGCGTACCACACAAACCCATTAATATTAATTCCGCAGGCCATCAAACAACAGAATAATTCGAAAGCGAATTGCGCAAAGTTGTCATACTACACCATTCCTCTTCCAACGCTCCCCTCCCGCTAACTTTATCCGTCTTGAATACCCGAGTGAAGGGCCGAGCCACAGTGGTGTGCTCGAAGGCTTCGACCCAATTGCGATGGACCTGGTTACGCAGGTAAAGAGGCATTTGAATAATGGCGATGGGTTTCGAAAAGTCCTTGCTGTCGAGGACCACTAGGTCGCTTCTTCTCTGCTTGACCCGCTTAATCATCGACAGAACCCACCCGTCACCTTCGGCGCTGTCTTTATTCCGAGGGATGAAGATAGGCTCTTCCACCAGGCAATCGTCACCAGGCTTGAAATATTCGATGGTTTTGGCCTTCTTGTCGACTTTTGACAGCGCATTTAGGCTCACCGGCATAGGGAACCCGTTTGGTGGCAGGTCAGGAACGACCACAGGAAGATAGATGATATTGTAGTGCCGGCCCATCCGACGCTCGTCGATACGAGGAAAATCGGAAGCCACATCAACAACAACTTCCGGGTCCGGAATCGTGCTCTGGGTCGGTTTGGAGAGGTCCAGCTCCCAGCACACAAAATCGGCCTCTGGGATCATGCTGAAAGGCAGGGCGTCTTTTCCTCCCCATAATGGAAACAAGTTGGCGAACACCCTGGACGTTTCGATATAGATCTTGCCTGCAGCACGCTCAAGCCGGAGGCGCTCCGTATCCACGTATCGGGTTTTGAGGTCGAATTTGCCGTCGTGGATGCGGAATGCCGACATGTTCCCGTCTCCTTCGATCGGGGGGTTGCCCGGCATTAAGGGGTAGAAAGGATCAACCATGATGCGGTAGAAAGTCCCATCGACCTCCTTGGAATTTCACCGAGCACAACAAGGTCGGGCATCTCACCCTCAACGCGGCCAGGTGCCCCCACCGACGCGTGTCCCACTGGGACCCCCCAGACGGCGGTCAGTCCAAAATGCTCGGGGTTTGGGGGAGCCTGGAATGGACTGGCGACGGCAGCAGAAGACATGTTGATAATACAGCGATTCAGGGGACTTTGGCAATCAATGCAGGAGCTTGAGGAGGGCTTGGGAATTTCTCACGGATATCCTAGTGGCTTGCTAGATATTTGTAGGTAGACATAGTGCGTGAGGTCCAATAACTACAATCACGTTGTCAGCGGACGTCAGATTCATTTTCCGGTTTACAGATTGATTGATTTGATAAGCCCCGCAGATCTGCCCCCCGCATAAACGATAACTCTAATTTCCCACATGCCGCAAAGCTTGTCTGGCCATTCTCCGCAATAGGTCCCTTACAACCATTTGGTATCCGACAACACAGTCATGGACGTTTCTGCTCCTAGGCCCGTGAGCTCTGATTCTGGTCATGCTTTCTCGAAGGACCCCGCTCGGGGTCTGGGGAGAGCCCACCAGAAACTCTGCTTTCCCACATCATGATTCTAATCACCTTGGCTATCAATTGCCGGTAACTGCACAAGACCTTGGAGATGCGGGGAAGGACACCTGTCAGCAACAATGATTAATCGGAAGACAGTGCATTGTATACCGAGATTGGACAAAGGACCTAGCTGTACCGCTGCACGAAAGGAAATGTCTTGACAAAATCATTTCTAAGATCATGTCGGCACCTTTCCACGGCAGTCCAAATCCTGCCCTTTACGTATAAAGGACCTGATTCCCCGCCGATTTCAGTCCCTTCCATCAACAACCACAAAGTCTACAGCTATTGAACATAGTTTGCTCCCCTCCTTGCCACGATGACTCACCCCGAGATTGCTGCGGAGATTGACCGCATTTACGGCAACTCACCGACCAGCCACCGCACCACGGACCTGAAAAAATCAAGAAATGCCGCTCCCTGATCGAACTGTTCCTCGAGACATTCAAATACAAGAACTACAAACGCACGCGAGAACTGGTCCATCCCGATTATATCCAAACACAATGTGGACGTCGGCACTGGTGTTGACTCGATCATCGAGTTTTCGGAGAAGACCTGGAAGGAACACGGGAAAATGCCCGAGTTGATCTACAAGCGCATTCTTGTTGATGGCGACTATGTCGTCGTCCACCTCAAGGTCGAAGTGGGGCCCCACGGCACGAAGGCGCTGGAGTACTTGCGCTATCAGAGCGGCCAGTTCACCGAGCACTGGGAGGTTGTTGCACCGATTTCCCCGCCAGAGGAGCATAAGAACTCCAATGGGGTCTTTTAAACATCTTCACCCAATCTATTGGGTACTGGGTCACGATGATGCTTGGATGTCGATTGGTTGGAGAGGCCTGTGTCTGTTCTTCGGTTTTGAGAGCTTTCTTCTGTGATTACGTTCGTTCACAATCAAGACCCAACGGCACCCCAGCCAATAATTATGTTTTAGTATGCTCATAGCAACATGGTATTTTCTTCTATCATTGCTCGGTTCTCTTCGCGTAGTGTCATCGGGATGAATAAATCCAGTCGAAACAAAGATGCCAAGTTAGTAAATATCTGGTATCGGCGCAGTCATATCAGATATGCATACTGTGCTTGTGAGATCGCGGTATTTTGAGGACTAGGAAAAGGAAGGGAGGAGATTGGTGAGCGTAGATTCTAAACCCCTGCATCAATAATGTACAGATCGGAACCCCTGTTGGACCAACGTCTGCAATACTTGCTTAGTGATGCATCCTCAGCCACGCACCGTAATACTCATGGTATTGTTAACCCCAAATCCGACTATGCTTGTAGCGCTGTTGAAATCGAAGCGCCTTCTCGCGGATCGCAACACATATCAAACTGACTGTAACCAAGGATCGTCCAACAGATCCCTTGCCGATTCTCTCTCCTCGTGTTTCCATTTGAGCATCTTGCGCATAAATTGGAGAAAAAGCTGCTGTGGTTCACCCAGCAAGAATCCCTCCAGTTTCTCCAACGATATAGAAGGGATCTCAACGTTTCCCTTCCAATTTCCTATTTCACATCAGCAAAGCTTGCTGGTAGATCAGATCTATAGATACCTTCGCCATCGAAGAAATCGGTCGCGTAGGCACTGTTCTGTATCAGTTCTTGCGGTGGTGGTCCCATAATAGCAATCATTTCGGCGAGATGATGAGCATCAGAAGGTTTCTTTTCTGAATCTTTGGCGTAGAACAGATGCCGTTTTTGGGACATAGTCCATGTCTGCTTCACTTGTTAGCTGAGGGACGTTCGTCACTGGCTGGAACTGCCTAAGTATCAGATGGATCCTTGTCAGATGAAGGCATACCAGCACACCGACATTCCAGATGTCGACCTTTTCGTTCCAAGGCATCTGCAAGAGCACCTCGGGAGCGCGGTAAATGTACGGCTGGATATCCCCGGAGTACGTATTCGACCCAAAACGAGCCTGACCAAAATCGCACAGTGTAGGACGGCCATGTTGTCTGGTTTTCTTGAGTTTGCGAGAAGCATAGATGACGCGGTCCCCGTCAATTTTCCGCGGGCTAGGATTGGATTTCTCTTTCTCTTCGAAATCGGCTAGAATGGAAGCATCTTCGACGGCCATCATGATGTCCTGTTCATTGATATCTGGGATAGCTCGGTTAGGAGGCCTTTCTGCAATGAAGATTGGAAGTCATACCCGTATGGACGATTCCAGCCTCCGTATGAAGGTAATCCAAAGCAAGCAGGAGATGCATTAGGGTCAGCTTGACTATTTCTTCTGGGAGTACCTTTTCCCTGAGCTGAGTGCGAAACTCATACATACTCATTCCCAGAGGGGGATGAACAAGACATGGGAATGTGCCCTCGGCAGAGGATATGTGGAAGCTATCCAATGTTTTGCGGATAAGCTTAACGCCCGCATGATTTGCTACAGTGAGGGAATTCAAATGGCGGTAGGCTTCTATCTCTCTTGGGCCTTCTGACGAATTGCGCTCAAATACTTTCAATGTGATATATGTGTGCTGCCTAGAATACGGTGAGTCAATCGGGTCGCTGCTCGTTTGTAGGGAAGGTTTACTGTTGGTCGCGACACAGCCAAACAGTGGAATATGCGCCATAGCCCAATTTGCCTATCACCCGATATCTTGATTGAAAGACTTCGCCGATTTTGACAGGATAAACGTCATCGGGCGAGTACCATGGCAGGGTTTCCTCCTCAATCTTCTCGGTTGGATTGAGAAGAGGGAAGCTTGCCTGAGAGAAAGCGCATAGTAGGGATACGCGACGTTGAAATAAAGGACGCCGGGTCCAAAGTTGTCTAGACAGGCGGCATGGCAGGCAAGATGTTGAAGCCATGGCGAGAAGCCGGTGACTGACAGGAGTACTCTAACGTTGAAAGGAATGTTGCAGGGGGTGACAGGCCCAGTCACATGATCTGTACAGTCCTCTACGGGAGAATATGACACCTAACATTGCAGAGAGATATACTCGGTGTGGAGAAAAGAGGTCAGAATGGTCAATTTACAAGATACATTGCAGGTTTACGGAAAAAAAAAAAAAAAAAAAACAATGACTCTTCTACATTCGCGAGACACTGCGTCAACCAGAATGACTACTAGATCACACCACCAAAAAGCGACAACGCACTAGTGGTGTAATATATGGCTGTGGACGTAGTTTGACATCTCTCCAGAGTGTGTGAGAATGACGTTTGAGCGTTCTCTTGAAGACTTGTGCAATAGTGGTAGTTGGGCCATTGAAGTAGGACATTCTGCAGTCCGAGGCTGTGATCGGTATAGTTGTGTTGTTAACGTGAGACTCACCTGCGACTGATGTCGTGTTGTTGATTCGAGAGAGTTCAAGATATGCAGCTGGCCTAGTAACGAGGCCGTAGTCACGGCGAACAAGCTCCTATCGGGGCAGGATAATTTCAGGGCTTCTTCGCTTCATGCCAATCGTGACCACAAGATTGATAGACGACGAGAGAGTCTCGAGCCAACCGTGTGCGCCAAGTGCAAGATATCCCGACTTCTACCACAAAACTTGGCTTTGCGTGTTGTGACGCCTGTGTGCAACAGCAGTTAGCCCTCCTTTGTCAAATATATTGTTGTCGAATCGAATTTGTGTGCAGGATGTAGTATGAATTTTGCGATCAAGATTCTCGTGTTTGCATTAGAGAAGAATCAACCGGAATTCCTTTCTTGCGACCGGTCGATACTTAGACTGGATAATTGCACCGGGCGGACAGACGTGGACAGGGAGTACTGATCGCGAGTTTGGTCTTGCTTAAGTGCTTGTTGACGTTTCTCCTGCTGGTGATGAGCGGCTACAGCTACAGATTCTCCATCAGTTATGCAAAGATATCGTCGGATTCCGATTCTCACTCAACCGAGAACTCTGAAGATCAATACTGACATGATCTAGAGACAGCCCATGGCGGACGAGAAGTGGGAAGGCCAGGAAACACTGGCTGTAAGAAGAAGCTCCCTAGGTATATAGAACCTCCCTTGATGTGGCTGTCCCCATTCAATGGCCTGAGCCCTCCCCTGGTGAAACCGCGACAGATATTGCTTGAAGTCAATAATTCCTTAGCGTGTAGATCTAGGTATACAGTGAAAGGCTCCTTTAAGATTGACCATCTATTCTGACTAGGGATAATTCGCTCGCTCGCATAACCTTGGACTAGAAGTATATTCACAGTGGCCTTGACAACTCTGCGGTCGCTTGCTGCGTTCAACTGCAGTGATTATCCTCAAAGTAGAATAGGGCTTATTGCAAAGTCAGTCTCTTTGAAGCTCCTGATATTATACATATATATGATTTGAATGGAGAAACGGTCATGGGGAAGACCGCTAAGTTGCTTCACTCCGGCTCAAGGAATGAATCCCCTCAGTCCAACCCAGTAATAAAGGTCGCCTATCGGTAATCAACCCTGGAATAACGGTCATGTAGGGCTCTAGTGAATTCGGGCACCATGATTCATATCCAAGTAGTAGTTACATCCCACGTAGGGTGAGTACCCCAGATACAACTCCCAAACGGGTAAAAGAGCCGACGAGATGTCGATCGTGATTGTGGATTGCGGGGTCCCCGACTTGCTGGAGACACGTAAGCATAGAACTATGGATGATGGGTTGTATATAACACCCCTACAATGTTTGCATAGGTTCTCATGAAATAATCCTCGATCAGTCAATTTTATCCAGAATCATTTCAGCTCTTATACAGCGTGCATCTCCAATCTCGGGCCAGTTGCCCATATCCGACTCGTCTCATCACGCCATCCACGTAATCGGCTCGCCATGTGCAGCCAACCATGTGCTCCCATGCACCACCAAACTCTGCTCGAAAAGATTAAATAGCATTGGATCGGCCAGCGACAAAGCTTGAGATGCCTCGTCGGCCGTCGGCTGTTAGTAGCATTTCATGATTCAGTGGGACGGGACCCAGAGAGCGGTGGCAGCTCCATGAATGAGAATAGGGGAAGCAGCGGGGAAGAGATGATGCAACCTGCACGATGAATGCGAAATCATAGATAGATAAACAAATATAAGCCAGATAAATTTTAGAATCTTATAAAGACGGTGTGTCCGGAGACTCGGTGAGTTGATACATAATTGTACATAGATGCAGTGTGAGGTGTCTTGCCTCCCGATGACTTCATGATCAATTGCATCAGTCGGTTGTCTCCCATTTAACTCTAGCAGCACCGTTCTCCCCATTCCATTCATTCACTTACCGTCATTGTTCACAACTACTACTCGACCGCCATGGGCCGCAGACTCGGGCTGCTCCGGGCCATCTACCTGGTGTCCGCCAGTTGCATGGGCTCCTTTGCCTTTGCCTTTGACACTGGCGTGATTAGTAGTGGACCCTCATCCCGACTCGACGACGACAGCTAATCTCCCCGACAGGCGGCGTCCTCACCCTCGACTCCTTCAAACGCGACTTTGGATACTCGGACGCCCAACAAACCACCGTCAACTCCAATGCCGTCTCCATCCTGCAAGCCGGCGCCTTCTTCGGCTGCTTCTTCACCATGCCCATCGCCTCTCGCTTCGGTCGCCGCATGGGCCTGATCATCAGCTCGCTCGTCTTCACCGTCGGCACCATCCTCCAGGTCATCAACTCAGGCACCCTGGCCACCTTCTACGTCGGGCGGGTCGTCGCCGGCCTGGGCATCGGCGCCGCAACGGTGCTGATCCCCATGTACGCCGCCGAGATGTCGCCCAAGGAGTTCCGCGGGCGCCTCGGCGCCTGCTTCCAGCTGTTCTTCGCGCTGGGCGTCATGGTCGCCTACTGGACGACGTTTGGTGTGTCCGAGACGCAACCCGACGCCACGAGGCAGTGGCAGATCCCGCTGGGGCTGCAGCTGCTGCCGTCAACGCTGCTGCTGGTCGGCATGTGCACGGTGAAAGAGAGCGCGCGCTGGCTCGCCGCCAAAGGGAAGAAGGACAAGGCCTGGGAGTCGCTGCGGTGGGTGCGCGGCGGCGACGACAGCCCCGAGCTGCAGGCCGAGTTCGACGAGATCCTCGCCGGCATCGAGGAGGAAGCCCGTGTCAAGGACAGCTTCACCTGGCGCGAGCTGCTCATCCCCGTCAACCGCTACCGCATCTTCATCGCCATCACCATCCAGCTGGCCGCCCAGCTGACCGGCAACACATCGCTGGCGTACTACGCCACCCAGATCTTCGAGTCGGTCGGCGCCGGGTCTGAGGCTAAGCTTGTGACGGGGTTTTTTGGCCTGGTCAAGGTCGTCGGCGTGTGCGTTTTTCAGCTGTTCGTCATGGACCGCATCGGTCGCCGCGTGCCGTTCATGGCGGGTGCGGCCGCCATGGGCTCGTTTATGCTCATCATCGCCTGCGTCATGGCCACCCATCCCGTCACCCAGGGCGGGGCGTCCGCTCACGGAACGTCATCGGCGGGCATCGCCATGATCCTCATGGTCTACTGCGAGGCGTTCTGCTTCAACATGTCGTGGGGTCCGCTGCCGTGGCTGTATGTGGGCGAGATCTTCTCGAGTCGCACGCGAGAGGTTGGTGTTGCGACGGGCGCGGCGTCGCAGTGGATCTTCAATTTTATGATGTCTCAGGTGACGCCGCATGCAATCAAGAGCATCGGATGGCGGATGTTCCTGATGTTTGCGATTTTCAACTATGCGGTGGTGGTGTATTCGTGGTTCTTCCTGAAAGAGGTATGTCCCATAACCTGTCGAATAAAACGATGGACGCTCCGACTGACACTTTATAGACTTCCAAGCACTCGCTGGAAGAGATGCAGGCGGTCTTTGGCGGCGACGAAAGCCATCACAAGGAGGTCGAGGCCGAAACGGGGAAGATGGCCGAGGTTGAAAACGCCGCGGAGCGTGCTCGCTAAATGAAGTCATGAACCATGGAAATGAATGCGCCACAAGATATATAACTCTAGAGCTATATTACGGATAGCCTTTGTTGTTAGTACCTCCATACAAAGAGACTGGAGGCAGTAATCTGGAAGCACACGACCGCGCCACCACCACACTGTGCGCGGGCCCAATACGAGCTCCGGGAACCGCCTATTGTACCTAGGTTAACCAGTAGCCCACCTCTAGTCCAGACTAAGCCAGGTTGACTGCACTGGCCGCTAAGGCTGCCAGGAACGGAGTCTCCTGAGCACAGGCATTGGCCGGCGTGTCCGGCGCTACATCCTGCCCCAAACCTTGGTGTCGTACGACTGCACGACGCACTCGAGCCAAGCGCAATTTGTAGAAACTCCAAGCGATCAAGATGCACCCCAGACTGGGGCCCGCGTGGGGTCTCCGCTTGAATGAATCTGCTGCGGTCGGGGTTGACATTAATAGCAGCATCTCGCTCAGGGTATCGCCGACCCGCCTTTCTCTATCTAATTCCCACCCCTGGATCATGTCGCCCGAGCTACAGCTGCACGCGATTTAATTCTAGATGTCTTCGCCCGCGTCCGATCACGTCAGTCGGCCGTCCGACCCGGATAGTCTGGTGCTGGAGGCATGGGGGCAGGGGTTGATGGTGGGCTCGTTGGTGGTGATGGCCATTATTACCGTGGCCAATATGAAGCGGCGCATCCTGTTGCACAAGTTGATTTTTGCAGAGGTACGTCCATAGAGTCTGCTCTCAGCTGTCTACCGGTGCTGGTCGCTCACAGCTGTGATAGTTGATCCTCGCGATGCCCCACGGCACCTTCATCTTCCCCCATGCGCCCACCTACGGCTGGTATCTATCCTGCACGGCGATCGGCCTCAACATCTCCTGGAGTCTGCATAATGTCATCGCATGGATGAAGAACCGGCCGTTCTTCTCGCGCCGCGTCTCCCTGTTCTACATCACCACCGTGCTGCTGGTCCAGCCGTACTGGATCCTGGAGATCTACGCCAACTTCGCCTACTTCAACAACATCAACCGGATCTTCCTGAAAACGCGGCCCCTCGAGCCTCTCTTCCGGTATGCCCGGCCCTGCCCTACCCAAGACCATATACAATCACCTAATACTGACGACCCAGCGACCCCTGGTGGGTCTTCACCACCTGCTCCCTCTTCTACACCATCAAGCGCGAGTACGGCTTCAGCTACAAGGAGCTGATCATCGCCAGCCCGCGCTTCGGCATCATGCTCGTCTCCATGTGTCTGTCGATCGCCTTCATCGTCGTCGACACCTGCGCCGTGCTGGACGTCTTCCACAGCCGGCGTCTGCCGACGGGCGTCGAGCCCTTCTGGAAGGTAACCCAGCCAGCCAGCCAAGCCCGTTTCCCCTCGCCCCGTTCTAACCTCGCCAGCTCTCCTTCATCTTCAAATGCCTCTGCGACACCGTCATCCTCGACGACTTCAAGACCGCCCTCGACGCCCTGCGTCTGTACTGGTTCAAGCGCCGCGCCCAGCGCGGCGAGATCTTCCTCCCCGGCAGCCAGTACCAGGCCGTGCCGCCGGCCGCGCGCGACGACACCATCGACGACGACGCCGAGGCGCAGCGCAGCGGCGGCCGCGCCCTGCGCAAGATCGACTCGTCCGTCCCGCGGGTGTACGCGCGCGAGAACGTATAGCCCTCCCCGGGGAGGGGCTTCTTGTATCTACTTAATCCCTGGCTTGCCAGTCGTACACACTAACGAGTGATGAGTAACGTCCGCGTCCTAATCATAATAGTATTCAAAGTATAAAACCCCTCCCTCTAAAAGTATTCCCGCAAATCCATCAAACTCGCCGTAACCTTATTGCTCTCCCCGCCCAACACCCCCGCCCCATGCACCAGGAGGTACCGTCCCCCGCCCTCCTTCAGCACTCGCAGCGCGCGCGTGTAGCTGTGGCCCTCGGGCGTGGGGATCTCCGTCCACTCGCCCTGGCCCAGCTGCCGGTTGATGAAGACGGAGCTCTGCGTGCCGGACCCGACGATGATGGTGCCGTGGCGGCCGCCGTACGGCGTCCACACAACGTACGGCGACGAGGTCGGCTGCGTGCCGCTCGACACGACGAGCTTCTGGTGCGGCGCGGACGCGATGTCCTCTGGGTCCGTGGTGATGCGGTAGTACAGCGGGAAGGAGTAGGAGGAGGTGTTGAAGAAGGAGCCGTATTCGTAGACGTAGAAGTAGTTGCCGTTGGGGAGCTGCATGCCATTAGATATCTATCGAGTATACTGTGGGATGGGTGTTGGGGATGTACCTTGGTGAGGATGGGCATGCCCGGGCGGTCAGTGTAGGTTGGGTATGCGCTGCGTCTGTCAGAATCCATTTTCATAGTCCCCGGGGGAGGGGGCGTACACATCGTCCACGACAGGCCCCCAGTTCAGCAGGTCGCGCGTGGTCTGGTGCACCAGTTTCTGGCCATGGGTGGTATTCGCGCGCTGGTCGGAGTAGTAGCAGATGAGGGTGCCCTCGCTGCAGCATATCGTCAGCACTCGCCCTTACATGACACAAGGTAAGAAAGGGTAACATACTACGCCATCAGGAACGGCTCCCACACGGGCGTCAACCCATTATTCGGGATCGCCTCTCCGCCGGCGGCGATATGGCTCACAAACTGCCACGAGCGCCCCTCATCCCGGGACGCATACAGATCGATCTGCGTGGACGACAGATCCGTGGGGATGCTACTCCCCGCCAGCAGCAGCGTGCCGGCTGGGAACTTCCCAATGCGCTCCGGCAGATGGTACAAGAACGGCTGGTAGCGCAGCCCGAGCCCATTGGCCGTGTCGTGGACCTGCGACAGCTCGGACCAGGTCTGGCCGTGGTCCGTGGAGCGATAGATGGGGAAGTAGACGGCCGGGGGCTCGGGCGAGTAGTTCTCCCAGGTGGCGAGGAGGTCGCCGTTGGGGAGCTGCTCGTTGCGGGGGTAGAGGGTGCGGGGGATGGTGTAGTTGCTGGGGGGTTTGAAGAGGAGGCTGTTGTTGTAGGGGGTGATGGGGGCGGGACGGAGGCCTGCTGCTGCGGTGAGGGCCGCGAGCGGGAGGAGAGTGAGGGCTTTCATTCTGCTGGATTGGGGGGCTGGGAGCTGGGATGTACATGCTGGGATGTTCAATTGACGTTTTTATAGTGTGCTGGGATGGGGATGGATGCATCCCGCCGGAGTTGTGCTCGTTCTGGCGCATGGCGCCAAGTGCCGGCGGATTTCCATCAATCACTAGTGGGCTTGTATAGTTCGATGAAGTTGCCGAGGTCTATGAGGGGTAGTATGTGGTGGGTGAGGATGTAGGTATCAGGTTCAGATGAATTGAGAGGAATTGGGTAGAATATGTGTGCAATTCATGATTGCTGCAATTGATCATCTACGAAGCTGTGAAGCTAGGGTCAGGGATACAGCATGTGAAGATCCGTGCAGGTTAGCTCCATCAACGGAGAAATATATAGTTCGGAGAAATTCCAATTACGGGGATGAGGACTGGAGTGGCGGAGTTGAATACGATCTCTACCAGAAATTGCATGACTTTCTATACATAGATGTAGATTGTAAATAGACGAGGACAGGAGGTTCCTAATTCCCTACTAGTCTTGGAATAATAACCCATTGGACACGCCCTCAGGGTTACCACATATGGCAATATACTGCGCATCTATCTCCTCAATTCTTCCTCTGCATGAAAGGGACGCACGCCTCATAAACCTCCCTATAACCAGGATACTTCACAAGCCTCTCAAACACGCCCTCATGCACCGTCTGTGCTGACTGCAGCGCCCCCGCAATGAAGAAATCCGTATAACTCGGCCGCGCGCCCAGGATAAACGGACCCTCCGCCTGATGCGTCAGCATGAGCTCCCCCACCTCACGAATAGCGCCGTCCACCGCAGCCCAGGCCTGCTCCTCCCGCTCAGGATCGAGGAGATCTTCCAGCGGATGGCCGAGGGCTGCCTCGCGGGTGCGCCGGAAATACTCCTGCGCGCGCGGCGACAGGATGCCCATCTCGCGCGGCAGCACCGACGCGCCGAAGGCTGTACTGACGACCTTGCGGGATTGGGCTTCGATCTCGCGGCCCAGTTCCGAGGTTAGGGGGACTGCGGGGTCTGGGTAGGTTGATTCTAGGAAGTCTGCGATGCGCGCGGAGTCCATGATGTGGGTGTTTGTGGGGAGGTGGTGGATTGCTGGGACGGTGTAGGTGCCCGAGTCGCTTGGGGGGATGCCACTGGTCTTGGTTAGGGAGTTGATGAGATGAAGGTGCAATGATCAGGGGGCTTACAGCTCCTTCAGCGTGGGCTCGATGTCTGGGAATTCGAGGAAGACGGTCTGATAGGGGATGCGCTTGTAGTTCAGCATCAGGCGGATGCGCCAGACAACGGGCGAGAAGCAGATGTTCTTGGTGCAGGCCAAGTCGTACAGGATGATCTCGGGTTTGGATTGCGACATGATTGCGATGTTACTAGATGAGTAGGGTAGAAGAGGAGTAGAATGAGACAGAGATGCTGTGATTCAGAGTCGTATACGAGTGCCCCGCAGTGAGATGGATTACTCAGTTGACATTATGTATAACTACATGTCAGCTATCCACTGTTATCCACAATATCCAGACGATCATCTCTTTCATTGATCTACAGAGTACCTAGGTAGTGACCAGGGGCTTTAGCAGTCACCGGAGAAACGGGGAATTAGTATAACTTCAACTCGGAGAATTAAGTATACGACGATGTATACAGGCTGCCTCGAAATCATTGAGCCAACCACACTCAGTTGAAAAACACTGTAATATGCATCTTGCATGTTTGTAAGATTGCATCTTGCGATTTGACTATGGGTCGCTGTACCATGAGAGTTGGGAATGTGTTCATCTCTGGTCACGAAATTTCTTAGCTGGTACCTAGGTAGAAACACTCGTAAATAACCTACTAGTAGGATTTGGCTCGTATCAAGCTTCCACGCGAAATTCTGCTGGTCCCAAGTTTCTTCCCGTACTCCGACACAATCATCTATCCTACACAATGGGTGGCTTCTTGGCCATCGCCCGTTATTTGTATCTAAAAGTTCTCGTCACCTTTTCGCGCCTCCTCATTAAACTCCTCACTGTGTCGCCAACTCCGAGACCTGACGACCTCTTACAAGTCCCCTCTCGCAACAAGCACCGCACCATCAAAGTCCATGTTTATAAGCCACACGTCAAAGATGCTGAAAGCGTAAAGCCCGTTCCCGTTCTAATCAACTTATGTGGCACCGGACTCGCCATCCCTTTCCACGGTCTTGACGACGATTTCTGCCGATTTATTGCCCGGACCACAGGCTACGTGGTGCTTGATATCGACTACTCTCTCGCTCCCGAGTCCCCATTCCCTGCGGCTCTTCACGATGTCGAGGACACCGTACACTATGTGCTTGACCACCCGGAGGAGTACCAGACTTCCCAAATCTCTGTATCCGGGTTCTCATCGGGCGGCACTCTCGCGCTGGCGGCCTCAACGACACTGCCCCGCGGAACGTTCCAATCTCTTATCGCGTTCTATCCTGCGGCGGACCTTTCCCAAGACCCAAGTCTGAGGAAAGCTCCAGTACCGGGCGGAAAGGACCGCTCGCCCTTCTGGACGAGGATCTTCCGAGAATCGTATATCAGGGGAATGGATCCTCGCGATCCCAGAATCTCTCCCGCGTTTGCCGATACGTCCAGATTCCCGGCCAACATGCTGTTCGTTACGGGCGAGTTGGACGCTTCGGCGGTGGAAGCGGAAGAGTTGGCTGAGAGAGCAAAAAACGACGGGCACGCTGACGGCAGGGAGGTCATCATTCGGAGGATGAAGGGCTGCGGGCATGCGTTTGACAAGAAACGCACCGGTGAAATCGTGGTTTTGGCCAGAAAGGAGGCCTATGAACTCGTTGCCAGTATGTTGAGGAAGGTCAGCAAGTCGGCATCTAAGTAGCATTTAATTTAGACTGTGTTGGATTTACAAGTAGTACGTTTCTGATGTCATTATTCGAATGAGATGTTCACTGCTCCTCGATAGGGAGAGTAACAAGAGGTATCATTTAGGACTTACTCTGTACTGTAATATAGTGAAAATCCTCAATAGCGTTGGTCACGGCCAATTCGAGAAAACCTGTAACACCAGCTGTATGGCCAATCGGAGAATTGTGATAATTCTCCATGCTCCTCATCACGAGATACCCCCATCTCAGTATACTTATACCTCCATGTCAACCACCGTTCAACACGACACAGACACAATCATCACAATCAATCACCATGGTCGAAGTCCCTCTGAGCACCCCCTCTACCCAAACCGTAGCCCTCATCACCGAGCTTGGCGGCAACGTCGAGTTCCGCGAGGGATATCCCGTGCCTACCCCAGGACAGAACGAAGTCCTCGCCAAGGTGCTCTACACCGGTGTCTGTCAGAGTGGTGAGTACCTCCCCCTTCCCCGCTCAGGCGCATACACATATTGATATGCTAGACCTCCACACCAAAAACGGCACCGCAGCCGGCCCAGACGGCCACCCCATCACGCAGATCAAACTCCCCCACGTCGGCGGCCACGAAGGTGTCGGCCGCATCGTCGCCCTGGGTCCAGGCTGTGGCTCTGATCTGCACGTCGGCGGGCTGGTGGGCATCCGATTCTCGAGTCGTATCTGTCGCCGATGCGAGTTCTGTCTTGCTGGAACAGAGCAGTACTGCGTGAAGAGCACAAACCATCTGCACCATGAGGACGGCAGTTTCCAGGAATACATCGCGCTTGACGCGGACTATCTGACGATTCTGCCGGATGATGTTGATCCTGCCGTAATCGGGCCGGTGCTGTGTGCAGGCGTCACGGCGTACAAGGTGAGTTTGCTCGCCCAAGGAAGAACGTAACTAACAATCGCAAGGCAGTTTTAAACGCCAACATCCGCGCAGGCAACTGGCTCGTCGTAGTAGGTGCAGGTGGCGGGCTCGGCCATCTAGCCGGTAAGTTGGGCTACCCTTTGCGCCCCGTGCTATGCTCACATCCCAGTGCAATATGCCAAAGCGCAGGGCGCACTGGTCATTGGCGTCGACGCCAGCGACAAACGCGACTTCATCCTCGGTCTGGGAGCTACCGAGTTCATCGACTTCACCTCGACAGATCCCGTGCAGCGCGTGCAGGAGATCACGGGGCTGGGCGCGCACGCGGTGGTCGTGACGGCTGGTAGTGCACGGGCGTTCGCGCATGCGTGCGATATGCTCCGCGTCGGGGGGACGCTGAGCTGTGTGGGGATTCCGCCGGGTCGCCCGGTGCTGGAGACGCCCATCTGCACGATCGTGATCAAGGGATTACGAATCAGTGGTAATCTGGTTGGGTCGCTGAAAGAGTGTATGGAGGCGGTGGATCTGGTGCGACGCGGTGTGGTCAAGCCAGAAATCAAGGTGCGCGCGTTTAGAGAATTGCCGCAGGTGTATGAGGAGATGGAGAAGGGAGATATCGCTGGCAGGATTGTACTCAAGGTTGCGGAATAGTCAAGTGGCAGGTTAAGCGTCGCATGGCAGGTCTAGGTACTCTTCAATTGGGCTTTGCTCCTCTGATCTCTCTTCGCTGGGTGCCACGGTTAGTAGTCGTGCAGGTGCTTTGACCAGTGCCTCAGCAGTCTTCGTATGCAGAATGGACTTGAGAAGGGGGTCCTGGTCCAGGAACGGGACCAGACGCTGGTACAACGCGTGGAGAAAGTCCTGCGAACGGAGCTGGAAGGTTTCCCCAGATGGCGCAGACGTATACAAGACCGTGTCGGCGAGGGAGTTCGCAACCTCGAAGCACTTCAACAGCTACATAGCCAATATTTAGCCTGCATTCCTTTACCGGTCAATCAACTCACCTGGTCCCGTCCTAGCGGCAACAGATCCGACTGCGTAAACCCCTTCAGAGAGACGAGTAGATCACGACTGACGACCGCCGGAAATCGAAAGGTCATCAACTCGACATACGCCGTCGACGACAACAGATGGCGGGAGAGTGCCTCTTGCCAAATTATCGTACGCATCCACTCCTTCGTGATGCAATAGTCGGCCATGCGCGTCGACGCGCGATCACCCTCTCCCTGCTGCAGCGACAGCACGGACAGAGCCTCCTCGGTCTCGGCCAGACTGACGGCTGATACGTCGCTGCCACCGCTGCGGCTCACGGCGATCGCATCAAACGCAGCGAATAGTCGTGCCAGCTCGACGAGTCCCTGTACGTGGACATTCGGCGGACCCCTCCGACCGGTCGCATCTGGCCAACGAGTCGGAGTCGCGAACGACGGCGCCAGGCCGAGATGCATAGCGTACCCTCTGCCCCATTAGCCCAGCCGTCCAGTAGAACCTGACATCGCAAAATATACGCACCTTTCCGACACCCACAGTAGCGTGAACAAGACCTCCCGATTGACAATCACATCATCGCCACAAGCCTCATCCCCGTCCACCGTCTCATCGAGTCGCAGGATACGCGCGCCCGAGAGCGCCTCCTGGATGAACATCATGGCCGCATTGCGCCGGTTGATCTTCGCATGATACACATGCAGGAAGAACGACACGAGCACGCTGCTCGCGTCGAGATTCTCACGGTAGTTACTCGCTTCGCGCACGCGCATGCTTTCCCCAGCTAGGACCGTACTGTCCACTGGCCCGTCGGCATCTTCCACCGGCACCATTTGCAGCTGCGCCATCGTCGCAGCACAGAGCGCGGCTGCAAGGGCATACGTGCGGCGGTCCAGCGTCTCACTCGGACGATTCTCCAACCGCGACAGCAACGCTTCCGCGTTCACCACGGGCCAGACGCTAAACGATGCGTCGCGATACCGCCGCACCACGGCGACCAGCACCGACGACGCGACCGTCGAACGGGTTGGTGCATCTGCCCGCGAAGAAGCAGGCTCTGCAGTTCTAGCAACACGAGTCGATGACTCTTCAGCGGGCGACCGCCGTCGCATCCGACCGGCATTGTTCTCGGACGCCGCGACGCGCCGGATCTTGGGGCCCCGTCGCCGGGCCGGCTTGAGGTACGTGCAGGGGACCTGTTTCGGGCCGCTGGAGCACGTATTGCAGGGCCAGGCGCCACTGCATTTGACCTTTCGGGCGATGCATTCATCGCAGGCGCGTTTTGTGAGGGGTGGGCGCATTCTGGGGTAGATTCAATGTGGTGAGGGAGCATGTCAACGAGGAGGGCCGAGGAGAAGTATGTCGCATCGTGAGGGGAAGAGGGGTCTGCAGGTCCACAGACAACACCTCCGAGCTGACTGTCGTAGACTCCTCCATCGTGGATAATCGTACCTTACTCCTCTATAATACTCCGCAGTATACTCCGTATGTCCATGGAGAGGGATGGAAATGGAAACGGACCACCGGTGGGTCGACGTCATGATCTCCACCCATAATTAAACGAGTCTCTTCAGTCTGTCATCTTCCACCTCACCATCTTCTCTACTCCCTCACAGTCTATATACCCGTTAGGAAGAGAACCACCATGGAAGACAAGCCCCTCGCCGCCGCCAGCACGGATGTATGTCTCCGCCCCAGTTCCAACATCTCATACTAACCCTCTAGCCCCGCGATCTCGCGGCCCAGGAATCCTCCGCCGCCGTTATCTTCCCCTCCTTCACCTCCAACACCGCCTGGTCTCTCGGTCTGGCCCTGCGCAATCGCATTCTCTCACTGCCGCCGGATCAGCGCAAGCCCGCGCTCATCTCCATCACCCTGACCGGGGGCTCTGAGCCCCACGTCGTCTTCCAGTGTGCCACCGAGCCCGGCACCATGGCCGACAATGAGATCTGGGTGCGCCGCAAGCGCAACACCGTGCTGCGCTGGGGCGTCTCTAGCTGGTTGATGCGCAATAAGATGCTGACCAGCACGGGCCTGGGTCCTAACGAGGTCGAGGCAGCGCTGGTGCGCAAGTTCGCTCTCACCAGTACCGGGGGTGGGGGTGCGGCCGACGACTATGCCATCCATGGCGGAGGTTTCCCTGTCCGCGTCAAGGGCGTGGATGGTGTGGTGGGTGTGATTGTTGTGAGTGGATTGAAGCAGGAGGATGACCACCAGGTGATTGTCGAGGTGGTGCAGGACTTTATCAAGAATGGTCAACAATAAACAATTGTATACGATTGCATATCAAGTGAAGCTACATTCAATGCATGACTACACTGTATGGTATACACATGATGCGTGCGTGTATTTTGAACTAGAAATATTCAAGGTATCAAACAGCCAGACAAGTCCAGCAATGCAACCAAAATGGGAATATAAAAATCACATGAATAAAACTCCGAAGTCCCTCTAAGTAATTTTACAGTTCATCATGGCCCATGGGCTCGTCATCCTCATCCGCCGGCGCAGAGCCATACAGCTTGCTGGTGATCGGGTAGGCGACGTTGGACAGCTGCTCGCGCTGCTCCTCGAAGTCCTCCGTGGTGGCAGTAGCCGCGTTGTCATCCAGCCAGTCCATCACCTCCTTGACGGCATCCAGGATGGACTGCTTGTCGTCCTCGTCGATCTGGCCGCCGAGGCCGTTCTCGTCGTTGACCTGGTTCTTCAGGCTGAAGGCATAGTTCTCCAGCGAGTTGCGGGCCTCAATCTTGGCCTTGATCGCCTTGTCCTCCTCGGCGAACTGCTCCGCCTCGGCCACCATACGCTCAATTTCCTCCTGGGACAGACGGCCCTTGTCGTTGGTGATAGTAATAGACTCGGCCTTACCAGTGCCCTTGTCACTGGCGCCGACCTTCAGGATACCGTTGGCGTCCAGCTCGAAGGACACCTCAATCTGGGGAACACCACGGGGCGCGGGAGGAATGCCGGTAAGTTCGAACTTGCCAAGCAGGTTGTTGTCCTTGGTCAGAGAACGCTCACCCTCGACTGCGATGCTGTTAGCAATGGTCATAGCCACAGAGCAAAGTTGGAAAACTTACAAACTTGAATGAGGACGGTGGGCTGGTTATCAGCGGCGGTAGAGAAGATCTGAGACTTGCGGGTAGGAACCACAGTGTTACGGGGGATGAGCTTGGTCATCACACCACCAGTGGTCTCGATACCGAGGGTAAGAGGGTTGACGTCCATCAGGACGAGATCGCCGGTACCCTCCTCGCCGGAAAGGACACCACCCTGAACGGCAGCACCGAAAGCGACGGCCTCATCAGGGTTGATACCCTTGCTGGCCTTCTTGCCACCGAAGAACTCCTCCAGGAGAGCCTGGACCTTGGGAATACGGGTAGAACCACCGACCAGGACAATGTCGTTGACCTCGGACTTCTTGACCTTGGCGTCCTTGAGCACCTGCTCAACGGGCTTGAGAGTCTTCTTGAACAGATCCATGTTCAGCTCTTCGAACTTGGCGCGAGTCAGAGTCTCCGAGAAGTCCTTGCCGTCGTGGAAGGCCTCGATTTCAATGCGGGTGGACATCTGGGAAGACAGAGTACGCTTGGCCTTCTCAACCTCGCGCTTCAGCTTACCCATGGCCTTGAGGTCCTTGGTGATATCGACGTTGTTCTTCTTGTTGTACTGCTTGACGAAGTAGTCCATGACACGGTGGTCAAAGTCCTCACCACCAAGGTGAGTGTCACCAGCGGTAGCCAGGACCTCGAAAACGCCGTTATCGATAGACAGAAGAGACACATCGAAAGTACCACCACCAAGATCGTAGACGATGACCTGGCGCTCATCACCGGTCTTGTCCAAACCATAGGCGATAGCGGCGGCGGTGGGCTCGTTCACAACACGAAGGACGTTAAGACCGGCAATGGTACCGGCGTCCTTGGTGGCCTGGCGCTGAGCGTCGTTGAAATAGGCGGGAACGGTGACAACAGCGTGGGTGACCTTCTTGCCCAGGTAGCCCTCGGCGACCTCCTTCATCTTGCCGAGAACCATGGCGGAGACCTCCTCGGGGGTGAGGGTCTTGGGCTCCTTGTTGACTTCGACCTTAACGACGGGCTTGCCATCCTTGTTGACGATCTTGAAGGGGAAGTTCTTGGCGTCGCGCTGGACATCCTTGTCATCGAACTTGCGACCGATCAGACGCCTAGAAGGGTTAGTCAATTGCCTCGTATCGGGCCTCAGACCAGGGGTACTCACTTAATGTCGAAAATGGTGCGCTTGGGGTTCGCGGCGTACTGGTTCTTAGCGGCGTCACCGACCAACCGCTCCTCATCAGTGAAGGCGACGTAGGAGGGAGTGATACGGTTTCCTTGGTCGTTGGCGAGAATTTCCACCTTTCCGTTCTGCATCACACCGACACAACTGTAGGTAGTTCCCAGATCGATACCGACGACTGCAGTTCATTAGTATACACTGTCTCCTTGGGAGACTGGCTGTAAACGTACCAGTTCCATAATCATCCTGAACCGAGCTCTCCTCGGCGTGGGCGGTTCCGAAAAAGGCCAGAGGCGCAATGAACACCAAAAGAAGGTAGAAGATGGTGGTCCAAGCCGTGAAGGGCTTAGCCGCACCGTTGCGGCTTGTTAGACGCGCCATTGGGAATATGTGTCGTGGAATCCGTTCTCAGGACACGAGCACCTCGACGCGAAGAAGTAGCGAAACCGAAACAAATCGACCTCGGGGAAGGAGATTGGGGGAGGAGAGGAAAGGGGAGGAAAGAAGAAAAAACAAGAGAAGATGAAACCCAACCGCGGTAAGGAGAATGGGCGGAGGCGAAGGGAGGCGACGAGGAGAGGAAGGGAAGCAAATGATGGAGGAGCAGAAGAAAGGGCTTCTTTTGTATTGGGTCGCCGTCAACTGCGGCCAGCATGGCCTTTTCCCTGATGGTTTATTTCTTGCGCTTCTATTGGTGGCTTTTCTCACCGCTGGGACCCTTCTGCCGGCAAATTCCCCGGGCGTTCGTTGGTGGAGCTCTGGGCGGTCTTATGTAATGGAACCGTCTCGAAGGGGTTAGAACCGTCTTCATAGCTGACTCATGCTTCATTAAGTTGCCTTTATTCACTGCGTGTACTTTCTTTAACTTCAAATACTTCTCATATTGCGAGTTGCTCTCCGGATGTGTGTGCTGGTTTGTTAGGTATTCCAGTTCTGTATAATATCTCTATTGGGAATATACCATTGACCTTGTATGGTACAACTAACTACCGAGGAACGGTGGCGTTTGTGATGCTACTAGACTATGACTCCTCATGCGGCAAATTGACACCTGTCACATCCTGATTCCGCATCATTCTCCTACCTTGTATGAGCTATATTGGAAGTACTCCGGAGCAGGTGGCCATTCGACTTCATGACACGTGGCTACAACATCTTCGACTGTATGAGTATGGTAGCTCCATATATCTATAGATCTACTTAATCACTACCTTGTACTGACCTATCGGCTCAGATTACCGACTGAATGTGTGTTGTGGAGGTTCCTCGATTTACTTGGTTACTGTGTACCAATATAACTAAAACAGGCACTCCTGTGTTTGACTGTATTCTCCTGTAGAAGATTTTCGGAAGACACTGTGTTCGCCGTCACACAGATTGCAAAGACAGTGGCGCGCATCAGATAAAATCTCACTGCACCGAACTAGACCCCTTTAGTTCAATCGATTGTACAGCCAGAGACTCTCAAGACCAACATATGCCTCGTGGCATCAGAAGCACTCTCCCGCCGATCATCAAAGTGGACATTATCAGACCCACAGCATCTAGAACAGTCCTTTATAGAACGTAAGAAGTGACCTTTGCGCGATTAGGAAATCGGAGAGGTGCAGTTTGGATCGACGGAATCCAACGCTTGTAGGAGACTGTGAGCAGTGCGAAATTCACCCGTCCAGCAGCCTTCAATAATCGCACCGAGCCAGATATCCTGTGTACTCGGTAGAGTCTTCCGGTCTGGCCAATAGGCTCGGCCGTCGGTGGGCAAGTTGTCCTTGAAGAGATCGACTTTACACCTGCTGCCCGTCATGACTTCATACATCACCGCTCCAAGGAGGCCAATATCGATTTGAGTGGTGAATCCCTTGTCATCCGCGGTCTCCATATCGGTCTCCAATGGAAGGAGAGACGCCTCTGAGAAATCGCACATCTTAATGGATATATGGCAATCCAGAAGAAAATTCTGGGAAGAAATGTCTGCAACAAGAACACGTCTATCGTGAACGTAGCAAAGTATGCGGGCCATCTCATAGCACCATGCGAGTTGTAGCTGACGAGAAGGTCGGCACTTTGCCAGATAAGTCCGGAGGTCGCCGTTGGGCATATAAGCAAGTCTGGTGGCTTCGGTTGAGAAACCAAGACAACGGACAATGCCCGTGGAACGGTCATCTTCGAGGCTGTGCAAGCGACGGTAAACATCTTGTTCACGTCTAAGACTTTGGATGTTCACATCAACATCGTAGTCTGAGCTCCAAATACATCTTAATGGGGTTCTGACAGCCACGCCATCTTCGAGTAGCACTACTGCAGAGCTTCCATACCCGATCACCTGCTCCTGAGGAATTGGGTCACCTCGAATGCTGAGAAATGGAGAGGACATAAGGGAAGCGAAGAGAGGCAGTCAGTTTGTCAAGGTACATTGGAAGTGGTAAGGGGCTGGCATGGATTCCTGCAGTACAATCCCCTGTCATGTGATTCATCTGCTGCAATTGTTCCTCAACTTGCTTTCTTCGCTTGTTTGCATTAACAGTCTAACTATCATCCAGTGTATAGGGTATAATACATCTCTATCTCATACAATCAACCAAATACTCTACCCAATCCTCTGCTTCCTCCTCACCCACACCTCCTTATCCTCCGGATCCCCACCATCCTCCGGCGGATCTCTCAACTGCACCTCCCAGATCTTCAGCTTATAATTCCCACGGTCCGCCTGCCCGGAGAAGATATCAAAAGCCCACCCGTGCTTAGGACACGTGACGCCGGCGCTGAGCGTGATGCCAAAATCCTCAATATCGAATATCGTCCCCTGCGAGAGGGGGAACGACGAGTGAGGACATTGCTAGAGGATCAACCCGGTCAGATTATACTCTATCGCTGGGAGTTTTTTTTTTTTTTTTTTTTTATGCACTCGCAACTCACATGGTCAATCGCGTGCACCTTGCCCTTGTACCGGAACACGAGGACTTGGTCCTTCAGGTCCCCTGGAAGGTCGATGTCTGCTTCTACTGGGCACTGCGATCCCGCGCTGCTGTCGGTCTTGGGGATGCTGAAGGCTTTGCAGCGCGGTGCGATGCGGTAGTTGTCGTCGTTGTTGGGGCCGATATCGGGGAAGGCGGATATACGCCCGACGCGCTGCCAGGCGTCTCCGCGGGCTCGTCGCATGAAAGGGAACATTGTTTTATGGAGGGAGATCTCACGCGGAGATGATATAAATGGGATGACTGATAGAAGGTGCAGGTTCGTGCAGTCGGATAGGTGGTGTGTGAAAATTCTTGGCAGGTCCAACTTCCGAACCAAACTAGAGACGTCTCTATATATGGCCTATCCTAATGACAATATGGAATCAATGCTGTTATGTATAGGGAGGTATAGAAAACATCCAACCGAACGACAGTAAGTCAACTCCGTGGTCGACAGGTTGGGCTCGCGATGATTATATATACTACACTTGACAACCGTAATCAGGTCCTCCATAGACTCAGTTTAGTATATTCTATCCTGAAATCTATATACTCTACCAATGCATCGACTAAGCCGAAAATATGTACAGCCTTACTCCAATAACCCTGCGGCCACCGTATCCCCATTGGATCGTAACACAATCCGAGTAGGGGCTTCCAGCGGCACGGCTTGGTCCATCTCGACGACGACACGAGCCACGTTCCCCGGCGCAACGATCTTGGGCTTCTTTTTCACAACCACCCCAGAGCTCTTGTCGAGGGTAGCGACTAATTTGCTGATCCGGCCCGGCACATGCAACCGCCCGCGGTGGACGTCGACCATACTCGGCATGAGGTGCTCAAAGGCCAGAACCTTGGCGGTAAACGTGTTGATGTTGGCAATCGGCGCAGACGCACGGCAAATGACATCGCCGGATCGGAGATGGATAGGGTCGATGTTGGCGAGATTCAAGACCACGTTCTGGCCGGCCACGGCCCAGTCACTTGGCTCACCGTCCACTTCCAAGCTGCGGATAGTCGCCTTCTCGCCGCTGGGCATAGTCAAGATCTGATCGCCCATTTGCAAGCTGCCCGCGTCAATTCGGCCGGAGATCGAAAGGGGATTCTGTACGCTTCCACGGAAGACATCGCCGATTGTCATCCGGAGCGGCTTGTCGAGCGCATGCGTGTACGGCTCGGTAGCTTCCAGTTCCTCGATCAAAGTATTGCCCTTGTACCAGGAGACGTTGGGGTCTTCGCTTCGTCGAGTGACGTTATCGCCGCTGATACCAGAGCATGGCACGAAAGAGATGTTCTTCGCCTGGAACCCAGCCGTCGTCAAGAAAGCCGAGATCTGCTGTTCGATTTCTTCAAACCGATCCTTGTCCCACTGCACCGAATCCATCTTATTCACCGCGACAATTATCCGCTGAACACCCATACTTCGGACAAGCAGGGCGTGTTCCTTGGTCTGACCCCTCAGTCCCGATTCGAAGTTGCCCGTGCTCGAGTCAATAACAAGGACGGCGAAATCCGCCTGGCTCGCACCAGCAATCATATTGGGGACAAAATCACGATGTCCCGGCGCATCCACTATCGTAAAGACTGCCTTATCGGTCTCAAACTTGTTCATAGCGATATCAATGGTGACACCACGGGCCCGCTCCTCAGACCCTTGATCCAGCACCCAGGCGAGAGCAAACGAGCCCTTCCCGATCTTTTCGGCTTCGCGACGATATTTATCCAGAGTGCGAGAGTCGATTGCCTTCAGATCCGCCAGCAGGCGCCCCATGAGCGTACTCTTACCCGCGTCCACATGGCCTAATCGTACAATTAGCCCTGGTTCCTCTCTAAGACACAAGGATGAACCAACCAATGACCGCAAAATTCATAGCATTCTTCCGTTTGGATTTCTGATACTCAGACAAGACATCAAGGTTCTTGCTCTTGACGTTCACCTTTTCGGCCACATTCAAATTACTCATGCCACTTGCCAAATCGCCCTGGGCTTTTTTGTCACCCGTTGCTTTCGCAGCAGGCTGTTTCGACTTGAACCCTGCATGTCTATTAGGGAGGTCCTAGATTTTGCGCCGAATAGCCAAACCTTTTGCTGAGTTCTGTGCGTTCAACACGACATCGTCGGGGCTAGGGCCTGTGAAGTCAAACGGTTCAGCAAGGTCTTGTCCGTAGATTCGGATCAAATCAAGTGAGCTGGCGTAGAGGTGGCTGGGCTCGGTCATGCGCGGGCGTACTGAGTCTCCAACAATCGTGCTAGCAAACGTGGACGGCGGAGCGCGGATATTGCTAGGAGGAGTTTGCTCCAAATCCTTGCGATCGGCCACGCTCTTCGTCTGGTCGCCCACAGGTGCCTCCAGCGACACTGGCGGCGTTTGCGGCTCGGGCGACCTCTTCTTTGGCGACACAGAGGCACTACTAGGACGTGGTGACGCCTTGCCCAGTGATCGCAATGACTGCAGCGAATCCGATGACTTCGGTGTCCTGCCATTAGTCGCAAGCCGCTCCCGCAGCGACAGCGGAGCCCCCTTCTGCTCTGACGCCGATGAGTCCGACAGTTCGCTCTGCGGAGTCGAGGTCGCGCTTGCACTGGATGCCTTATCGCCTTCTTTCTTCTTCCGCGCTGCCGCCAATGCCGCGAGCTTGGACATTTTGCCGCCTGCTTCGGGGGCGCCGCCCAGGAGCCCGAGACGAGGGTAGAGAGGTTCGACGAGGATCTCCGCTTTCCGGTGCGGCGGCACGTTCAACCACGGCGAGTCGCGGAAGAATTCGGCTGCTGAGAAGTGCGCAGAGAGGGACGAGGGAGGAGGCGGAGCGAAGGGGAGAGGATATGCAGACACTGGCAACCCTGTTAGAACACATTGCGCTTCAATTCGGAGGTCAGTTTAGCTAGTCAAGCACAGCGAACGAGGATCATACTCACCACGACGACGACGAAGTATCTCGAGCCCAAGCACACCACGAGAGGTAATTAAGAGAGACTAAACAGGGATAATGCTTACCTTTAGCCTTCACCGGAGCAGGCGCAGCAGCGGTCTGCTTCTTCTGGAGCTCTTTCACTTTCTTGTCTAAACTCCAGCGTCAGCGATTGGCAGCTTAGTGATGTAAGAGAGTATAAGAAGCTAAAGAACTCACTGCGCAGGTAGTTAACCGTCTTGTCAACGTCGTTATAGTAGTAGTACAGCGAGTCCTGGACCTCTTCCCGAGTTGCGGTCACGGATGGCTCCCCCGTCCGCAGCTGGTTCAACACTTCCGTAGTGCATTCCTGGAGATATTCCAGTTCTTCAGGATCTTGCGAGTCGTATCCATCATCATCGTAGTCGTCATCGTCGTAGCTAATGTTCTTTACCCGGTGTCGCGACATGATGAGCTGGGCAAATGGACAATAGCGGGGTAGGAAGTGAGCGGCTCAGATGACAGGTGCGAGGCAGGTGGGGAAGAAGAGGAAGTTGAAGCAGACAACGAAGTATACCAAATCCTGCCGTAAACCTCTGAGCCAGTGATTGAAAAATGAAGGGTAGAGAGACGGGTGGGAAGAGGGAGAAGTGAAGGTGTTGAGGAAGTCGGAAAATGAACTCAAACCCACCACGTCATTCCCCGCTCTGACTTGGCAGAATCTATGAGTGCGAGGCATACTGGTACTGGACCTACTCCGTACAGACCATACTACATACTAGAGTCAACGAAGATCATTCTGAACTTCAATTCTCATTTCTAAAATAGGAAAGCTCTCTAAAGCCCAGCACGCAATCCCAATTCAACGATGCCACCACCAAAAGGTATCTCATCCCAACTAGAAATCATACCAAGTATGTACGTACCGTCATGAATCATCGTCAAACCCGCGGGTGATACGGCAGAAAAACATTCAGGCCAGAGATAAACTACATCACTTGAGCGGACTTCCTCCAAAAAAGTCGCCAGCACCAGGACCCGAAAAAGTTCCATCACCAGGCGTCAAGGCATCCGCACGGCGGAACCCCCGGCCGGGGGTAGTCGGCGCACTGGCAGGGACAGCAGGAGCTCCGGCAGCATCAGGGACGGTAGGTGTGTTGCGACCACTGTTGGTATTCTGCATGGTCACTGCGGTGCCGGGTCGCGAGAGAACCGCCGCGGTGCCGTTGCGAGGCGGTGGTCGGAACCCGAGCTTGGAGCCTTCGCGGAAGATCTCCTCCAACATCTGGGAGACGATGCCGGCGTCCTCGTATTCGAGGAACTTCTTCCACAAGCGAAGAGCCATCCGGGCGTCCTCAATAGAGTCATGTCCCTCGTTGTTATCCGCAGGTTCCTCTTGGATATATTCCTTGAACACAGCCCAGGCGAGATACCGCAGGCTGAGCCGCCGGCTCTTACCTGGGTGGAAGAACAGGTACTGGGTATCGACCGTCTGGCTCTTGGGGACCTGGATGTTGATTTTACGGAAGTCGGACGCCAGACCGTGTCCGACAAACACGCAACCAAGATTCAGAAGCAGCCACAGCTTCTTATACGCCACCTTGAGCGGGACCAGATTGTGCTCACTGGTTCTCGGGTCCAGATCGCCGGGCTTGATACCGGAATACTGGGTCACATAGTCGACAATTGGTTCCTTGATGGTGATATAGTCGTCGATAAATGGGACTCCTTCACGAACTCCCGAGCCACGGAGGACAGAGACACGGGCGAGGCCGCTCTTGCTCGGTCGCACGATCTCCTGGGAGCCATCGGCTTTCACATCGATCTCGGCCTTTTCAAGGTCAACAAACTCGGTATCCAACGCCATGGGTGTCCCTGGTGTAGGTTTTTCGTCCTCGGACAGCGTAACCCGTGACTCCACCGGACGGCCACCACTATTTAAACGCATTAGTACTGTCATAAAAGAACCAAGAGCGTCATAACTTACTTGAGCGACCAGTCCCTGAAGAGTAGGGTAGTATCGAGGGCGTCCTTCCAGGAGTCATCCATAGCATGGCGCGCATCCTTCACTTGGAACGCCAGCACGCACGGTACCTTCCATGGCTGATTAAACCGCAGAGCCTCATCCTTGTCGACCTCAGTAACAAGGAAGTCATTAAACAAATGCCACTTATTCTGGGGCTGGGGCTCGGGGGAGGAGATAGCAACGTTGATGAACGACACCAGGTGGGGTTTTTGATGTTCGGGAATATCAATCTCCGTCACTACACCAACCAGTTCATAAACGATCAGACCCGGCATATTAGCTTGGACGCGCATGCGCAGGTCCTCCCCTTCGTAACAGAGGGTTTGACCACCATCAATGACAATTCCGACTTCGTCTGGAAGCCAGCCAGGGATCGCCCACAGCCGTCGAGCCATAGGCGTATTCAATGCGGCATTGAGCATCATGACCAGAGGCATTCGATGGACGCTTTTCCGGATTCCCACCGGCTGATACCGCCGACAGTAGTTGCACCAGCCCTTGTTCTGTGTCTCGCGCTCAATACTGGCCCGCAAGATGTTGGAGAAACGGAAAGCTGGGTTCCTGCGTGTGTGTTTGATATCCATGTTTGGATAGATGAGTTCGTTGACTAGGGAGTTCCCAGGTCTCACAATCTCGTTGCCGCAGTAGCGGCATTGTATAGACTCGGATGCGATTGTAGCTAATCGCTGTTCGAGGTCATCAGAGTTGGGCATTATCGTTCGGAAATCATGCGCAATCTGGCCAAGGAAAAACCGGTTCACGGCCTGAATAGCGGAAGAAAGCGACTTATTCGTCAGGTTTTCCTCCAGGATCCCCAGGCTCGCGGCCTCGCGGAAACTGCTGAAAGTCTTCAACAAGTTCGTCGCCTGGCAATTCTGGCCGTTCGCCTTCTCGAGCATATCGAAAAGATAGCCCATCTCACATAAAAGACAGTTCTCAAAGACACACGAGCTGGCAGCGTGGTGCAGCGCCACATTGCGCACCAACGGAATAAATTTGAGCAGTTGGAGGAGGGCATTTGTAAAAGAGTTCGCGATGTGCGTTTCCAGTCCCGAAAAGTTCGTTTGGTTGTAAAACCGGAAGTCAAAATCATCCACGCCAAACCGGCTATATTTAATCTCGACATTACTATATTTCAGGAGAGGATCGTCTTCGGCCTCTCCGTTCAGCTTTGCACCAGCAAGCGCCCCCGCGGCCTCGGCCACTGAGCCGTCACTCTTCTTGCTTTGCTCCCGTGCCTTTTCACTTAGGAATTTCGGAGCAATCAAAGCGGGTTCAGTGGTCGCTACAGCGCGCGTGTTCTCGACCTGGTACCGCCGTGTCTTTTTGGGGTTCGGTGCACAGTGTCCAATCTCGGCTGGACGTAGATAGGGGATCAATCCCGTATCGATGGGAGCCGGCGGGCTCCCAACCTCAAACACAAGGTGGCTCGGCCAGGCCGAGAAAAGCCGTTCGTGGTAGTATGGCATACCGATCATATTCAGGGGGGTATCCGGCGACCAGTCCAGCGGGGGAGGTCGATGCGTGACATCTGCGAGCTCGACTTCCTTGCTCATCTCGTTGAAATGGATCTTCGCCGGCGATCCCCACAAGTGGACCATGCACTCGGCGTCATTGATGGCCAGTGCTTCACCAGACGGCGAAATATCGATACCAAGCATGAAAGAGACATTTGCCTGGCGGAGATTGATTGAGTTCGGGTTCATTAGGTCCACCACCTGCAGCTGACCCGTCTGCGACGCCACAAAACTAGTCGTGGATAGCTTAGGGTGCATGCGGACATAAGCAGCACCGGCATGGAAGGGGATAGGCGGCAGTGGTGACAAGGTTTTTAAATCGTAGACGTTGGCCAGCGGATCAACAATCGGAGAGCCTAGGTGTCGCACCGAAAATCCACAGGTCACCAGCAGGTCGTTCCGGGCATCCATGTCGTTGACCGCCGTGCCGTGAGCCTTCCAGGACTTGACGACGCGGAAATCCGACAGGCTCAGCGCATTCACGGATCCCGTGTCCGTCGCGGCACAGAGATATCGGCTCTTTTTCATCATCGTGTAGTTATACTCCGTCGGCAGCTTGTCGACGATGACCCCTTTGTCAATGTCAATGGTGAACATCACCTTCTGGCATCCAGCTACAATAACCCGATTCAACTGCGCCGTGAAGCTCATACACCGCAGATCGACCATTTCCTCGTGAGCAACATGCCATTGTGTAAGACCGCGTCGAGTAATCATATGCACGCTCCTCGAAGACAGCGATATCACGCCCCGTTCATGAAACAATATCTGCCGGACAATCCCCTCAGCGACTGGGTGCGCCCGGACAGACGTATACCGTTGCAATTCCGGTCCGTAAAAGGAAGTGATTCGGCCCTAGACGTTCCACTTCCGTCAGCACATGCAACTATGGATCGGACGAAATCTAAAAGCTAAGGAGGGGGAGGGAAAGAAGGGGCTCGACTCACATATTCATTTCCCACCCACAACAGTTCCATCACATCGTCAAACGCGATTGTCGTCGCAACGGTAGGCAACGCATGCGGACTCGGCGGTGGCACCGGAATGCGCGACAATTCATCCCAGTCGGCTTCCATGGTGTTGACATGGCACGAGAATACAAAGCGCGGGTTTTCTCGGTGTTATGGGTTCGTCGTAGAACAATTCGTGTGGTGTCTGGATATTGTTCTTCTAATTCTGTCCATATGGTGGCAGTGCGATACCGGGCATCGTCCGCTGAAGACGCGATTGCGGGGGAAGCTAGCTGTCAGAGAGCCCAGAGGTCGACTGTCGCAGCACTAGCGACAGGCGGAGGACGATGGCAGTACAGTCGTGACATTCACCATGGGGCGATCGGGATAGGGGTGAATTCGATCAGGTAGCGCCGGTTACGCCTGGGTCGATCGCTGTAGGCATTCAGGCGGCCGTTGAGAATGAGGTGCTTAACACGTCGTCACGTGAGGCAGAGGGGCTTGTTGGTGCCTCAGGCAGAACTAGCAACGGCCTGTCTACAACTTTCTTTTCTACAACGAAAAAATATATCCACTGTTTGAGGAAACCGACGTAAGATGAATATTTGGTATCAAGAGGACTAATGAACCGTATGGAGAAACTACACAAGCATGATTGGCAGCCGATAAAACCAGGCCCAATTACAGTATCATAACACAGGCTAGAGTAACATGAAAGAAACCAAATTAGATTGAGTGCATTTAGCTGGCAATCAGCGAATCTCTTCTAATATGATCCTCGAGATAACCAGGGCACCAGCCGACGGGCTATTGATAGAAAGAAGCCGGGTTGGAAGCGGGCCCACCTTGAGGCGGCTTGTACGCCTGGTAGCTTGCTCCAGGGGCGTTCACAGGATATGGTGTAGGAGCCGCTGCTGCTCCAGGAACCGGGGGAGGCTGATGCATTGGTGGGGGTTGGTTCGCAGCGGGAGTGGCGGGGTAGGGAACTTGCTGTGTACCTGGGGGCTTCGACTCGTCAGGTGAATAAACAGACGGAGAGTAGTCCTGCTGTTGTTGTTGCTGCTGCTGGAAATGCTGGTGAATAGCGGCGGGGATCTGGGCGCCAGGGTAGGGCGGCCGCTGTTCGACGGGAGAATCGTAAACAGAGGTACTCAGCTCCTGAGGATGATCATAGGTGGACTCTGGTCTATGGTGTTGAGGGGGGTAGGCATCTGGCGCGGTATGCTGCTGTGGTTGTGCTGGAGGATGCGACGGTGCTTGCTGATATGGTGCGGCAGCAGGAGGAGTGTGGTTACGAGGACCGGGTGATTGAGACGTCGGGGGGTACATATGCCCTTGTTCGGCACCATAGTATGGTGAGGCGTTAGGCTGGAGGGGCTGGGTCTCTTCCTAGCGTTAGACGGGGGTTTGGTAGATAGGGCCCCGGCGAACAATCACGAACCTTGAGGGCGCGGGCTAAAGTACCGCTGATCGGGTTGAGGTCCACCAGGGGGGTAGCCCATGGGCGCTCCTGGGCCGGGATAGGGATACTGGGGCTGACCGGGTCTTCCGTATTGAGGTTGGGCGGGATGCGACATGGACGCCTCCAAGAGAGCCTCGTAGTCACGTCGCGCTTTGATGAACTTTTCATTAAGCTGAGTGAATTCATCTGAAACATTGTAAGCCGGTGACATGCAAGAAGAGTTGCAGGGTAGTTACCTTTCTTCTGTGAATATTTGCCAATCAGCTCAATGAGCTTAGGCCGAATTGCCAATGTCGAGTGGTACAAAGCTGTGATTTCCTCATTATCCTGCACATTTGGCTCCGAACTCCGGGTGCTAAGCAGGGTCAACAGCTTTTCAACGTTCTTGATTTGTCCGAACACCTCGGCCTCCATCTGAGCCTCCCGTTGCAGCTCTTCGACCGTGGGATCCGGAAGCTTTTCCACATAATTGAGAGGGAAGATGCCCGTCTGGCCTCTGAGGGAACCCTTCCACCAATCCTTGTATACTGACTCCAGAACAGCAATGACGTCACCTTTGCGGAATTGCAACTCGCCCGGCTCGGAGGGTTGGAAATCGAACAATGCTCTAACGCGAGAGACGGTGGCGGCGGAAGTGCCTGATGGAACGGCTTGCGACGCTGCCGGTTGTGCTTGGCCGGCGGAAGCGGCACCTGTCGGGGTTGTAGCGGCGGCGGCAGCAGAGGCACTGGATTCAGCCTGGGGGTGGGGCGCCGTCGAAGGCTTTTCCCTGATCGAGAGAGCCAGGGCCATCTGCAATTCCTCCTCTTCCTTCTGCCGATCCGCTTCCGTGATCTCCCGTTTGCCGGGCTTCGATGGAGGCTGCAGGTTCGGGTCTGGATTGTAAGAGATGAGCTTTATTCAAGATTCACTCAACATCCCGCACGTACTTTGCGTTTTCAGTTTCATGTATGCTTGTTCCATAATCCCAAAATCGGGGTTGCTGGCGAACATCTCCGTCCATTCCTGCATGCGCTCTAGGATCTTCGCCTTCACCTGCTGATGGGTGTTCTGCGATCGCGGTTAACAGCAATCACGAGAAAAGAATATCTTGAGCACACTTACCCGATCATTCGCAAGGCGCAAAAGCGCATCTGTAAAGCTTCTGGAAGCTAGTTCCCGGTGAATCTTCGGGCCACAGTTTTGTGCGAGAGCATTTCCCAGCTGGCGGAGTGGTCAGCATAAATGTCCGTCACAGTCTGGGGGAAGTGCGAACCTCGAGAGTGTATAGCTGCACATTGGCATTCCGGTGTGCGAGTCGCTTTATCAAAGCAGCAACGGCATCTTTCGCACTAATCACAGCCTCGTGTCAGCATGAGACATCTCCAACTCAAAACAGCCAAACACATACCCAGATTCTTCAGCAGCCACCTTGTCACAAACGTCCTAGAAAGCATTAGACCACCCAATATCAGGTACGGAAGTCGTAGGATTGAGCATACAAGAATGTATTCCCAGTTCTCGGAAGTAAGGTTCTCGTCTGTCGCCTTGGCTAAACCGTGGTAAATCACGAGTCAGCGTATTATCCTGGGTGGAAGCCTTCCAATCCACGGTACAGGGAGCACTAACCGACGGCGTCGTCGAAAGCGTTCTGCTGCGCACGAAACATCGCGAGTAGTTTCGCCTAAATCGGCTCACCCAGCAGAGATGTGGCGGCGGGAGAGTCTAACGGCGTGCGGAATTCCGTCCAAGACAAGTCGAAAATGCAAGGATTGTTCGGAGGGAGTCGGTAACGCGCGATCGGCAGACAGGTCAAATCAAGGATGAACTGCCCAAAGTGATGGTATGAAGAGAATTCCCAAAGCTCTTCTTGACTTAGGTAGAGCCGACAGAATCACCAGGGACAGGCCAGTGCGGGGAACCCGTCAGGGATGGTGTAGGGGACGTCAATAATTCGAGAGGGGTTCGGCGACCGGCGGAGGTGGAGGCAGTCGGTGTCGAGGCGTTTTGTACAAGGAAGCGCAAGAGGGAGAGAAGGATGAGACAAGAGCTGAACAGAATGATGACCAACTCGGGCACGGCGAAGGTGGTTGGCGGCAACCTAACAGGTGACGCTGCCGGATGGCGGAGACGGTACTAGGCGCCTCTGACGCTGACTGGCCCGCCGCTACGCCCGATTAAGCGAAAGCCTCCATTACGTAGGAGCCTACAGCTACTACGACCTATTTACCTTCAATTTATCAGTCATTTAGGATATCTATCAGGCAACCTTTATCACCACTCTTTGTCTGAACAGCATGAGTAAAGATCATCAATCGCCCTTCCGCCTCGAAATTAAGAGATGCAGCTACTATGGACTGCATATAAATACACCATCATTGGCCAAAGGTCTCGCATTGAAAACAACAAATATTCTTTTACGTTGGTTGACCATAACTTCCAACACCAGATTCGTAATTCATGAAAACAACCAAACAGATACAATGCACGCGTTCCGACGGTTCAACGGCTGCGGTAATGGCAGGCGTCCGCAGGTGGCAGTCGTTAGGTAGGTAAGGCATCTTGCCGAGAAACCCTCCGACGGACGGCAGCCAGTCCAAAGACCAGTTTTGCAAATTAATGATGTCGGGAGGAAAGATGCATTGTAGAGTGAACCCGGGAGCAAAGGAGCGCGATCCCGGACCGGATATGAATGAACAACAAACAGGAGAAAATTCATCAAGTCATCGCCATCTATGAGCTGTAGGTCGAAAACAAAAACACAGGAATCAGGCGTAAAGGGTTCGGCCATGATGCAATACCAGCGTAGGGAACCGTCGAGATATGAACATCAAGGATCAAGGGTATCTGAATGAGGAAAGACAGAGGATAGGGACGTATATAGAGACATAATCGGAAGGTATTATCTATGCGCCGCCTTTCTGGGCTTTCTCCTGTGCTCGGCTGATCCGTGCAGCCTTTACCAGGGGCGACAGGTGAGAGAGGGGGGCGCAAAGGTTCATGAACGGATGCTGGAGGTCGTCAGCCGGTGGAAACGGCGATGGAATGGATCTAGACCTACCTTCAATAAGTCGTGGGCGGACGCTCGCTTCTCAGGATCCACTTTCAACGCCAGGTGCAGGAAGTCCCGGAAGACAGGCGACAAATTTTGTTCATCCTTGATGGCAGGGGTCCCGTTGGTGGCAATCAAGTAGAGAGCGCGCAGTGGAGACTCCGTCAAATACGGAGGCTCACCCTCGATCATTTCGATGGCCATGATGCCCAAACTCCAGATGTCGACCTTGCGGCCATACTCCTTTCTTGTGACGACCTCGGGGGCCATCCAATACGGGGTCCCGACCATGGTGTTTCGTTTGTGCTGCGAGTCGTTGATCTGAGCACAGAAACCGAAATCGGCTAGTGATGGTTAGAGCTGATGACAAGGTTAAAGAAAACAATCGAACATACTCAGTTTGATGTTGCCTTCCATGGATAGAAGGATGTTGTCTGATTTGATGTCACGATGGATGACACCTTTGGAATGCAGGTGCTGCAGGCCGTTCAGCGTCTAAAACACGGTTAGTCCGGCGCCATCAAACTTTGACGGAGACTGGGAGGCCTACTTCTCTGCAGACGGCCGCAATCTGCCCCTCACTCATGATGTTGAAAGTAACGACATCTGTGAGACTTCCACCCTCCATGTATTCCATGACAACCCAGAGATCCAGGCCATGCAGGTAGCTGTCCAGGAAATTGACAATGTTCTTATGCTTGCTGTCCTTCATGACGAGAATCTCATTGATGATAAGATCTTTCTTCGGCTGCAAATCCAAGTTCATCTGCTTGATGGCGACACAATTGTTGGTGCCATTCTGGTACGCTGTGAACACGCCACCCGAAGCACCTTGGCCGATTTTGGTCAGATTGTGATACATCTTCGTCGGATCTCCCGGTGTGCAAATCGCGAGCAACCGGGCGCGAACATCCATAGCATTGCTCTGACGCGGCCGCTGGCGTGGGCGTGCAGCGGGTGGCGCGCGTGCCCCTTGCTGCAACGCAGCTGAGTCCTCCACGGGAGACGGCTGCTGTGCTGCTGTGGGTTGCGTAGGTTGTTCGGGGCGTGGAGCTTGCTGCTGTCGCTGACTCCGGCTGCGATCGAGTTGTATGCTTGCAATGGCTTGCTGGGCCGCTGCCATCGCCTGTTCCTGTTGTTGCTGGTACTGTGACGGGGTCGCAATCGGCCCAGTTCGCTGCGTCCCGTTTGCTCGAGAGTTAGACCGGCTATGATGAGACTCCGAAGGCAACGGCGCGGTCTCCGGAATGGGCGGAGTGCCAAACTGCTGGGCATGAGGATCATGCAGAGGTCGTGTCGCACTATAGGGTGCCGCCGTTGGCGGTTGTGGTGCCGGTCGAGCAGGCGTTATATTGGCGGTCGTGGGCGGTTTTGGCGGGGCTCGGTTTGGTACCAGGCCACCCAGTGGAGGGGACATGGCCTGCGCCGCGGGAGCGGCCCGAGGGATTGGTGGAGGGGCTCGTGGATTTTCAAAGCTACCCTCATGATTCTGGGGGAAGCGAGGACTCGTTGGCGACGTAGGTCGAGGTCCAGTGGTGCCGTACGGGGCGGTACCGCCCGAGCCGGGCTGAGATGTGGTACTCGGAATAGGTTGATGCTGAGGATACGCGTGATCGAACTTGTGCCACACCTCATCATCCCCCCGAGCATTCTTCTCGTAGAACCGCATGATATCGACCATGGTCTGAGGGTGTTCCTCCTGCTCCTTCTTGGAGATTCCACTCTCCTGCAGCAGACGTTGCCATTCTTTCGGCAGACCGGTGAACTGGCCCGTTTGGTTGTCATAGCCGACATGAGTAACATGGACGGGATTCTCGGGGGCGGAGATCTTGATGCCACGGGGAGAACCTAACATGCTGTTGACGAAGCTGGAAAAGCTACTCTTCTTGCTTCGGCCGGTCGGCTTGGACGCGTGGCCCTCATCGGAGTAGCGTTTCGTCGTCGAGCGGTCATGGTCGGCACGGTGCGCGATGGCGTCCATCCGGTTGTGTAGGTGGGTGAAGCTAGCGGATTGGCGGATTGATCGAGCGTCGGTGGTACTCTGGGAGCGCGGGTTCGGCGGTCTCGCAGCGGAAGGAGGTGATCTATCAGTCTCGGCGACGGTGTTCTCGTCCAAGGCACTGAGCATACCCCGGGTCTCAAACGGGGCGCTGATCAATTCATCTGAACTCTGTTCGTTGAGGGAGAAACGTCCCGAGTGAGGGGGACGCGGTTTGGCGGCACTGTGGGAGGAGAAAAAATGGCCAGATTCGTTCCCAGGTAGGACGGGGGATGGACCGTTGCTGTTCTGATCGAGAGAGGATGAAGACGAACCGTAAGCGTTGGATCTGGTTCGGAGGTGTTCTCGACTTCCACTGGCAGAGGAACGCGGGTACACAGGCGCGGAGGGGTGTCGTTTCAGTGACGTGTTACTCTGTTGGCTTCTGAGAATGCGGGAACTGAAGCTAGGAGGGTCCTTGTGAAGCTTGCTGGAAGTCCGCCGAAATTTGAAGGAAGAAAAAGTATCGTGATTCATGACGTGCGGTTCTGTTCTTTTTTTTCCCCCCTTTTTTTTTTAGACCCCTGGTAATTTTTTTCTTTTCGGGTAACGGAGGGGGGGGGGTCGAATCGAACAGGTCAAGCGACTGGGTAGGAACAGGGACAAGGCGACTTGAGAAAGGATCAATCGGACAGCTTGATTGGAGGGGGGAAGGCAGGAGGAGGGGACAGCCACCGGGTGAGGCGGTGCTATCTGGCAGTCCCTTCCGTCCGTTGCAGCAGCGATCAGTCGTGGGCAAATCGGGGGGAGGAATGGCGATCGGGGGGGAAAGTGGAAAGGCGTTCAGAACGGAATGTACGGATGGACAGACGTAGTCACACCTGATACACGGATGAGGGACCACAAAATGGGGCGAGGAGACTGGCAAAGAGGGATGGGGAAGAGGAACAATCGGGGATGCAAGAAAGACGCAAGGGAGAAAGTTGCGAGAATAAACTGCCGCGGGTCACCGTCTACCCAAAAAGTGTGGTTGGCACGTGGAGAACCGCCCGGCGGAGACGGAATGGCGCGTGGTGATTGGGCGCGGTGGATTCTGGCCACCACTTGGAAAGAATGTCACTGACCTAAGAAACAACAATCATGTCAATAATAGTCATCATCGTAGACTCTGTAGATGAAAAGAGTAATGGTGGTGATGAATAAAAACAGAAGAGAAGAAAAGAAAAGAAAATACTGGGCAGAAAGACCGCACCTGCAGGAGACTGCAGAAAACCGACAGCTCAGCACACTCCCGTCCCTATCTTCTACTCCGTACAGATCTGCAATCCGGCCAGAGAACAAAGGAACGGTTGATGGGTGACTAAGATGGAATGGGGTAATAAATTCCAATCACAATAAAATTAAATAAAATTAAAACAAAGAATTAATAATTATTGAGATAAAGAATTGCACCGAATGATAAAGTCAAAAACATATAAAGGACACGGCATTTCACTTACCAGATCACTCCGTGGACTTCACCGATGGGACGAGAAGAATAATAAAAATAATCGACCAACGCAGAAACCAGAACGAGACACAAACAGGATCTTCTCAGGGCCTTCTTTGGGCCGTTTGATTTAGTTAGATTAGGTGGTGGCTTTAGTTTGTTGGAGGTTGGACCACCCACTGTAACTAATGCCAAACGGCCCGCTGAGGTTGGTGAAATGGGGCTGGCCCTTCTGTCGTATATTATGCCGTTTTATTAATCTATCATTGGGTATGAAGATTTTAATAATATCGTCTAATATAACCAAGGTCTGATCTCACGCCCCTCGTACCCCTGCAGGTTGGATCCCTTATCACCCTAGTACCTTGTCCCAGGGTATACATCATCTGTCTCAGTTGGTGGCTCCAAACCGAGCGGGAAGAGAATTCTAGACACATCTTGACCCCAGTTCGCGATGGGGACACCAACCCTCCCATTGGCCGTTTACCGTTGTTCTGCGGATCGGAGAACAATTCCCCTCAGACTAACTAACTAACTAACCGTTCCCAACCATGGGATCGGCACAGGAGATGGATTCTCTCGAATTCTCCGTGTTCTGGTCTTACGCCGCGGAAAGGCAGAGACAATTCGTCATGATTGATACTCTAGTATGCTTACTCCGTAGACCGATATCACTTCGATTATGCTGGCACAACTCCTGTGCACCATCAATTCGATTCTATACCCAACCTACCTGCCTGCTCCTGAATTAGATTAGCGCACTCCGCCCAGGAAGCAGTCGTCATCCGAACCGGTCCCAACCAGCCAGAGCTTCTCCTCCTCCACCCCGTCATAAGTTACTCCGTTCAGTCTGAATCAGCGAATTGTAATCCTCGGCAGCTCAGGCCCTCCCCTCTTACCAGTTGATTCCCCCTCCCCGTACCACTCCCAGCTCTGCAGGTACGGAGTCCTCCGACACAATCCATCCAGAGTGCGAGCGTCCCCCGGGGCAGTGATAGACATTCCGATCCCTGTACCGGCAGAATCCTAAATCCACCCCAGCGCAGTCACACCGGTGACGGCCATATCATGCTCATGACAGGACGGGCCAGACCAATGGAACGACGGCCGCTGGTGATCCTGGTCGGTGATGGCAGTGTGCCTGCCATTCGACCTGTGGAATATCATATGTGACTGGTAATTGACCTCCACTGCAGCGTGGGAGTCCCCTGCTCCGTACTCTGGCCGAGGAGCCGATTTACTCTAGTGGGTGGGAACATCAATTTCGCGCTTCTCCCGTGTTGAGTTAGGCCTGTCAGAGACACATCCCGGCTTCCAAAGTCGTGGTCGTCCGATTAATGCGTAGATGACGTTTCAGATAAACGGTCGGTCGGCACTAGCATCGAGCGAGAACATGCAATTTCATGGCAAGGGGATCTCCCCACCAGCATCCTTAGCGAGGCACGTGATCATGCAGCCCCAATGCCTTTGAGGCTCTACATATCAAAAGGACGATCTTCGCCTAGGGATAAACTTGGTTTTTGAAACATGTAACGTAGCGGATCAAGTACATACTTGAGGATGGTTGATCTATTTATCTCTGTTGATATCCCTCTTTATGGACCTCACCAGGTACTTGAAACACAGCGCCCGTCTGATCCATCACATTACTATCTACACGGACTCTCGTCCAATGCTGATCAAGTCTCACAAATACAATACAAAAGTTCTGCCTCCGGTTGCTTATCTACGATATCTGCAGGCGATCTAACGCGACAGGATCATCCCCGATGTGACTTCCCCTTGTACACATATCAGCCCATCTCGATCTAGTCATCCAAGTTGAGTAGAGTGCGAGAACCCATGATGGTCAACGAAGTCCAGGCCTCGAAATAGTTGATACATCTTGAGCTCCTTCGTTTTCTCGTCGAAATCATTCCAACAGCAGCGGTCGAGGAATCACCATCACCAAAGTTCCGTCTCTGATGGTCTAGAAATGAACTGTGATGTTGACGGATAATAGCATGCAAAATCCAATCCGGGAACAAGGATGGACAATGACCATCTTGCTGCTCGAAAAGGCCATGTAGTCTAGCAATGCAGACTACCAGATGAGGAAATAGATCGGTCAGAAGCGAGAATAAGATAAACTTCAGTCAAATCTCTCGTCATGGGAAATCCATCTCCGGATATATAAAACCAGGTTGCTCCTTTGCCTGTCTACGGCGGCAATCTCAGCTAGCCACATACTGTGACCATATATACATGTACTCCTGGCGTACGATAGCCCGACGGAGGACAGTACCCCCCAACGACCAAGTCCACCATGTCGAACTTGCAATTCATTCAACTACCCCGTCCACCGATGCCAATTCCAAGAACTTCTGTTACTCTCAAGCGGTCAAAGTCGGCCAGACTGTCGAGACGTCCGGTCAAGGCGGCTGGGATGCAACCGGGAGTTTAGTTCCGGACGTCGAGAAACAGGTTATCATCGCCTTCGAGAATGTCGAGAAAGCTTTGAAATGCGTTGACTCGCAGCTTTCGTGACAGAACGTCTACCCCGTCCGCAGATATCATACCAAGGCTGAGGAAACATCTGATATCGTCGCGGCGAATCTCAAAGGGTCTTCCAAACCATAGACCCAACTGGATTTGTGTAGAAGTTAGGAAGCTGGGACCCAACAGATGCTCATTGAGATCGAAGTAGAAGCCGTATTACCATATTAGAGCATGACTATGGCTTTCATACAGTCGACTATAAAGAAGGCTCTCCTATGTATGTTCATCGATGGCTAAAGCAATAGACATACTCGGTTCATCTGCAGAGGCGACCTTTCCCGGTCGTCTAGCATAACTCCCCAGATCGTTGATGTGAGACTATTGGAAGCGGATGTTGAGAGCCAACCTCATAATTAGAAGCAGGCTCAACATGGTCAGAAAATCTAGGAAGTATTGGAGCCCGATGTACTCTCTCTTAATAGCTTTCCGGGAACGACTTTCACAGCAAGTGACTTGCCTCCGTTCACTCCATGGCCAAGGTCAACAACTTCAATTCTATGCAAAGCTTCAACGTCCTCTTCTTCACGTCCACCTCTTGTGTATCAACATGCTCCTTGCCAGTAAGTTCATTGGAATTCGTGGTTTATACTTCAAATATTTGACAAACCTTACGTTAGCCGAATCTTATTGTTGGCGTTCCGATATATATATTTCCGAGTAGATCAAATACAAGTGACCGAACAGCCAGTAAATATCTAGCTCTGACAACTCTTCCAGCGATGAGGCTATACAATATCAATGAATATCAAAAATCGATATCAACAAACGTGGATGTAGATCGATGCGACGAATAACGGTGAGGCTCGGCGGTTGTCGTCCCGAATAGGCATGGGGCGGAGAGCCGGCCAGTGAGAGGGCTCGCGCTGTCCTCTTCTCCTCTAGGTACTCCGTGTTGGTTATTCTTCCGATTACCTCAACTTCTCTCTTCCTCTCCCTCTCCATCTCTAGACTTCCTCTCACCTCCCTTCTTCCTTCTCCTCTCCGTCTCCTCATTCTCTCTACTTTCCTCCCCTCTCTCCCTCTCGATCCCTCTTCCTCCGCTTTCTCTTTCCCCCCAATCTCCGTCCTCTGATCTGCGGAGTGCGTGGTTCAGCCCCGGTGTCTTGTGTGCTTGCAGACTCACAGACCCGGTCTCATTTACTCTTCCCATTCCTCTTTTCTCATTGGATATCGCAACGGTTCAATCAGTTCACCGGATATTCTCTATATACTCTTGTTCATCACTGAGTAGCTGCCTATCCTTGGATCGCTATTCTTACCGCTTGTTTGACAGGTACCGCCGATCGCCTGCATTTCCCTAAGACATCCCCGACCCTCAATGGCTTGGAATTTCTAACCATTGGACACAAACAGTTCGCAAAACCAACATTTAACCAACTCATCCGAAATTCCCCATCAAACTTCCTATTGTCCGAGTCAGACGTCCGTCACCATGGCTTCCGAGGTTTCAAATTCCAATGGAATCCCCAAGTCCCGAGCCGCCATGCTGGAGGAACAGCATGCACGGGACGAGGCGCACAAGGCTACCGTGGAGGAGGTTCCTGATGAAGAGGAGCTGAAGCACGCCTCTGCGTCCACGGGTCTGGAACAGCCGTCCGCTACTCTGTCGCAGATGTCGACCCCCGCCGAAACCCCCGCCCCCTCGGCTCCCAAACCGGCGCCGAAGAAGGGCCCCGCCTTTGATGTACAGTCTGAAGAGCTGTTCCCCGCCTTGGGAAGCGGCCCGAAACCCAAGGTGCCTACGGCGTCCGCGTGGGGTGCCAAGGGCACTTCCGGGGCTGCCGCCGTTGCAAACGGCGCTCCCGGTGGTGCGCAATCTGGTATGTCTTCCAAACAGAGCTCCGTTGACTGTCGTTGCCGACTGACTGGGTGTGCGCTAGTTGCCGGTGGGTTCGGCTCCGATGTACCGAGAATCATGAGCCTTCCTGGTAAGCATATGGAGCAGCTTCGACTGGCTCCTTCTCAGATGCTCCCACGGGGCCAATTGAAGAAGCCCCTCCGTGATATTCTGCGTGACATCTCGCGGCGATCGAAGGCCACCGTTGATATGCGTGGCGGCCCCGGGGGCTCGATCATCTTCGAGGGTAAAGGGTCTGTGGATGCGGTCCGACAGGCGCTCAAGGAGGTCGCGCAGCAGGTTGGATCCAAGGTATGTTCGGTACCCAAGGGACGAGGGTCAGTCACGTTGACCATGCATACAGCAATCCGTTCGTGTTCCCATCCCGACGTCGGCTCGCCCTCACATTATTGGCCGGCAAGGAGCCGTTGTCCAGGACATCCAGCAGCGGACAGGTGCTCGCGTGCAGGTTCCCCGGGTGGATGATTCTGCAGCCGGCCAGGATGACGATGACAGTGATACCATTGATGTCTTCATTGAAGGTGATGCGGTCGCGGCGGAAATGGCTCGTCGTGAGATCGAGGCCATTGTGAAGGAGCGGGCGTCTAACATGAGCCTGCGCCTGAAGACCATTCCTCCCGAATTCTTCCCGTTTATTGCCGGCGCCCACAATGAGAACCTGAAGGGTATCGAAGAGCGCACCAAGGCTCAAATTCATGTGCCCCGCTATGATACCTGGCTCAGCCAGCCCCCGCCCCAGGAGGCTGACCCAGGCCATGTGCAGTTTGTGCCAATTCCTGAGAGGCACATTCACATCTCCGGTGAGCGCACTGCCGCTCAAGAAGCCCGCGCAGAGATCGAGCGTCTTGCTGCGGATCTCCAACGGCAGTTGACTCTCCGCCAGCTGGCCATCAACCGTGGGCAACACCAATTCATCCTTGGAGATAACGATGACGCGCTGCACGAGTTTCTGGCTGACACTGGTTGTGCGATTGTGCTCCCTCCTCCTTCGGACGACAGCGAATTCTTGACCATCACTGGCCCCTTGGACCGTATTGAGAGTGGTATTAACCGTGCTATGGACCTTGCTACCAGCATGCAGATGGCTAGCATTGACCTGTCGCGTCAACACCCTAATGCACCGTCTGGTGCTCATGCCCATGCCCGTGCTCTCACTCGTTACTTGACCCAGAGACAAATTATTAAGGACCTGGAACGCGCCTATGATGCCCGGATCGCGCTCCCCCCGAGCGTCGATGGCCCCGTCACCTGGGAGGTTTACTCGAGAGATGGTAAGAACACCATCCGTGCTCGGTCTGATATCATGAATCTCGTCCAGGCGCATCCTCCGGCTAGACTCCTTCACGTGTCGGTCGATCCCTACTTCCACCCGTACCTGCGTTCTCGGAGTATCTCCAAGCTCCGGAACGACTATGGCGTTCACCTGCTTGTTCCTGAGAATCTTGAAGATTCCAATGTGGTCCTTGTCTATGAGGGCCCGTCCGCCACTACCCCTGAGTTCCAGGTCTCTCGCCAGCGTCCGTCCCCCGCGGAAATTGCTACCTTCGAGAAGGTCCTCAAGGAAGCCCAGGATTATCTTTTGAGTGCCCTGGGTGACCAGACCGATGTTGTCGCCAAGTCTGTAAACATCCCTGCGAAGTACCAAGAGAAGGCCCGCAAGTTCATTGCCCGCGAACAGCAGGCCAAGGGCGACGACCACATCCCCGTCCGTGCAATCGTTGGCGATCCTCGGGGGCGCCCTGGCGAGTGTGAAGTCTCCCTGCGTGGTCCTTCTGGGCTTGTGGCGGAGCTCATTGCCAAGCTCCAGTCTTTTGTTGTGGAGCAGGAGAAGGATGACCTGGAGCGTGGGTACACGACGTCGTTCGACTTTCCCCAAAAGTATGCCAACTTCCTCATTGGAAGACGGGGTGAGAACATCAACAAGCTTCGCGACGAATTCGATGTTGATATCAAGGTTGAGAACGGCAAGGTCGAGGTCAAGGGACCCAAGGCGAAGGCCGATGCTGCCAAGGTCCGGATCATTAACCTTGGAAAGAAGCTCGAGGACGAGACGACGCATGTCCTCAAGGTGCCTGCTCAGTACCACCGGGAGTTGATTGGCCAGAAGGGCTCCCAGGTCAACCGCCTCCAGGATCGCTATGCCGTCCGCGTGCAATTTCCCCGTGCGGCAGCGATTGCGGATGACCAGTCCGTGGATAACTCGAGCGAGGCGGGTGGCTCTCGCCCCGCTCGTGGACAACAGGGTGCGGATGAGGTGATTGTTAAGGGCCCCAGCAAGGGTGCTGACGCTGCTCGCGATGAAATCCTCAGTCTGTTGCAGTGGGTCATTGACCATTCGTACTCCGCCACGGTATCCGTAGCCCAGAGCCAAATTCCCTCTTTGATCGGCCAGCGTGGCCGCGAGATGGACAAGCTCCGGGCAGATACTGGAGCTCAGATCGATGTCCCTAGTGCTAACGACGCCCCTGATGCCTCGGGTCGTGTGGAGATCAAGATCAAGGGTACCAAGAAGGAGGTGGAGGAAGCCAAGAAGATTCTGCAGCAGCGTTCCAAGGAGTTCGACTCCATTGTGACCAAGACGATTGATGTCGACAAGAAGCACCACAAGTCCCTCATTGGTGGTGGTGGTATGTTTGCAACGATCCTGTTTACTTGATACCTCAGTAGCTTACAAATACCCAGGTGCCAACATCCGCAAGATTGTTGCTGATGCCGGCGGTCCTACTGATGGCAGCGCATCCCGTCTGGTCAAATTCCCCCGCCCGGACAGCGCCGAATCTACCATTAAGCTGGAGGGTAACGGACAAATCGTGGACAAGATCATTGCTGCTATTGAGGCATTTGTCAAAGAACGCGAAGATCAGGTGACCGTCAACCTGGAAGTTCCTCCTACTCAGCATCGCCTGCTCATTGGTCGTGGCGGCGACACGAGACGCGGCATTGAGACCCAGTTCAATGTCACGCTTGACATCCCCAAGCAGGGCTCTGGCCGCTCTGATGTGAAGCTGAAGGGACCCAGCAACGCGGTTGAGGAGGCGAAGCAGCACATCCTGTCCATGCTCAAGGATCAGCAGGGTGAGACTATCGAGGTTCCCCGCCATCTGCACCACGTCATTTCTGACAACGGCTCGTTCTTCCGCCGTCTCCGCAACGACTATCAAGTGACGGTGGATCATGCTGGTCAGCAAGCTCCCCCGAAGCCTGTCGCTGACGACTCCCGGGGTGCTGTCAATGGAGCCTCCTCGCTTCCCTTGATCACGGACGAGCCCAGTGAGGCCGTCGAGGCTCACTCGTGGAAGGTTGTTGACAACACCCCTGCGGCTGCGGACCCGAGCCAGCCTGCTACCATCCCCTGGGTGCTTGCCGGCACGAGCGACAATGTCGCCAAAGCCAAGGCCGCACTGGAGAAGGCGATTGCCTCTGCGTCGCAGCAATCTGCTACTGGATACCTGATTCTCCCGGATCCGAAGACCTACCGATTCGTTGTTGGCCAGGGCGGCAGCCAGATAAACTCGATTCGCAAGCAAACGGGTTGTCGCATCAATGTGCCCAAGGACCAGGCCAAGGGTGAAGCCATTGAGATCAAGGGCAGCAAGGAGAACTTGGATGCGGCTCGCGATCTGATTCTGGAGGCCGTGCGGGCTGGCCTGGAAGGTAACTCTCGGTGAGAGATTGGAAAGTGGTAGCGCAAACGCTGCGTCAAAAAATTCGCTTCTCATTCTGTCTTATTGCTAAGCCAAAGAATGTTATACAACTACATCTTCTTTTTCACTCTTTTGCATTGCCTGCGTTCTGTCTTCGGTATTTGCTTGTAATTAGCATCATGTTCCGCGAATTCGCTGTATATGGATTGATGATGGACATAAAACCCGAATCACTACTCATTTAATGCAGTAAACGGTGACTCGTCTGCCAACTGGAGAGAGTAACAACCACGTATAGCGTCTATACTTCGGAACGCGACGAAGGACAGGTTATCAGAACGACACGACGGATCTATTTGTCTTCTCGGATTGTCGAGAAAAGTCGAACAAGGTGTTGAACAAGGTAACGAATAAACTAAATGTCTTGCAGTGGATATCACCAACAACCCTTTATGCTGAACAAACGGTTCAAAATCAACGGGTGAATAAATAGGTAACAGATGAGCAACAGATAATAGAGCCCCGGGTTCATTCAATTACGTCTTGGCTTTTTTTCTTTTTCTTTTTGTTTGGGATTTGTCCGCGCCATCGCACCGCTTACTGCGACTGGGTCTGGGAGTTCTGGAGGTACTGGTAGGCACCGTAGGCGATCAGACCACCGACGAGGAGGACGGAGTAGAGGCCGACGCCGAAGCCGCCGGAGGAGCTGGAGCCGGAGCCGGAAGAGGACGAGGCAGAGTTGGCGGCGGGCGGGGCGGGGTCACCGGGCTAACAATCAGACTGTTAGAGAGCAGAGGAAGCTGCTGGGGTACGGGGGAAAAGTACCATGCGCTTGAGGTTACCGACGAAGAGACCGTCGAGGATCTCGCGGGCCTCGTCAGAGTGACCGACGTCCTCGAAGGCCTCGGTAGCGTCCTGGCCGGCGACGTCGAGGAGGACCTCCTCACCACCGCTGGTGGGCGTTAGCTATTGCGCTTTCCAGTGGGTTGGTCGGAAGCACGTACGGGTGCTCATCGACGAACGAGGAACAGTCGTAGACCTTGTCATGGACGACCATGTACAGGTCCTTCTTGGTGTTGTGGCCGGCGACCTCGGCGAAGGTGAGTTCCTTGGAGGCCATTGTTGCGGTGGGAGGAGAGGACTGGGGGTGAATTGGGTTAGCCGGGGTTGTTTTCACGGAGGTGGTGATATGGGTGAGATGGATGGTGGTGGTTCTTCGGGAAGATAAGGGAGAAGGGGCCGGTGAGGATGCTCGGTGAGAGGATGACCTGCTCTCCACCGCCTCTGACGGGCATGCGAGGGACGGGACAATCCGTCAGTCTCCCGGAAGGTCGAGGTGCATAAAGTAAGACATGCTGGGGATCTGCGTAAAGGCCAACAAGCGTGTTGTGATTGGACTCACCTAGATGACGGGAAACCGGTTAGTATGAATGCGAGCGACTGGAGGGGGAAATGCGAACGAGATCACGCACCGAATTGTGAATGAAGGCGAAGCGACGAACAAACAGAAAACCAGAGGCGAATGGACTGAAGAGAGGGAGAGAGTGAGTGAGGAGAAAAAGAGGGGATCGACGGGGAAAGTTGGGAAAGGAGGAAACGAAGCGATGGTAGGATGACTAAGATCCAGTCCTACAACATCAACGGTCCTGTCGGGTTTGCCGTGAATATCTTCCGTTGGCGCTGCAGGGGAATGGGTTCGGGTGTTGGCTGATCATCCGGTTTCCGGGTTCCTCAGGCTGGACGTATCGCGCTGGGGTTCTCCCCGCAGCGCCTGTTGAGCGCAATGTCGATGCCTAGTACAATAGTGTCGTCGTGGTGGTTGTTTGATGCTGAATTGCCTGATAGGGACGGGGCTGCCCACCAATCAGCATGCTCTTATTCTGACCTGAATAATCTTTGTGCCTGGACAACCAGGCACCATTGCTGCCTGAGGTTAACCGTAGATCTTCCTCGGTGACATATGATTCGCATGAAGATTAGAAAAACAACCTAGGTTCTCCTCACGAATGAGGGCATTCAACACTCTCTATCTCGGAACCCCCCCGTGCGCTGAAGGCCCATCTGACGATGAACCTAGCATTCCGCAGTCCTAATTCCGCCTGGGAACTCCCGGTCTGGCCCCCAGGCATAACCGTAACCTCGGGGCTGATCTGTCGGGTAGCGCCTTCGGGATTAACTGCCCGACTCGGGGATCGTTTCCCCGCCTCCACGGCGGAATCTCGCCCTCTGAACGGTATTCCTTCGCGGGGACCGGAACTAGATGCTCTGCAGAGAACGGGATTCTGATCTATATACATATAAGACAAGAATGTGGAAACGCTGAAGGGACCATGCTCAACATGCAGAATGAGGAGGAATAATAAGTCGTAACACATATCACATGTCTCCAAACCATACAGAACCGGAAAAGATAGATGCGCCCCCCAGGCAATTGCCAAAATGCCTCACACATCACCACTACTTCGCGGGCACCCGCTCGTAAAATACAATATATGCTTGTTCGTTCTGCAACCGGTCCTTGTACCGGAGGTCTCGCGGGTTGAAATCCGACGACCGGTCGTCATCGAACTTGCGCCAACATTGGCGCTGTGCATCCCGAACCAGCGAGATGTAGTGTCCGCTTCCCATCGACGATCCGATATGTCGCAGCACCCCATACGCATCGTAGGTGAAGGGCGGTGCCGTCGGCGACATGTCCTGCCGCACCGCGGCATTCGCGTCATTGGACACCGGCGGCGCAGATGCAAACACAAAATCATCCATCCGAAGCCCATGGAGCGGGAAGTCAATGGGCGTATGGATCTTGCGGGCGCTTTGTGTCTTGGACGCCGAAAAGCGCTTGAAATGGACTACCAGGATCTGCGGTGCACGCGTGATAATGATTTGCTTGGTCGCCACCCGTTCGCACTTGCAGTACGGGCATTTCCACACCTCGTCGCCGCTCAGCATCTCCTCTTGACAGTAGCTGCGGAGGCACTGATAAATATCGCCCGTGCCCGATGGCGGAATCTCGACGCTGATGCTGTAGAATGCCTCGTATGTGGTGGATGTCCGCTTGCAGGTGGTGCAACGGAGCCGACTAGCGTGCTGGCCGGCAAAGAGCGACGAAATGAAAGATTCCTCGCGATGGCAATACCGGTCCCATTCGATCCGCGACACCTTGGCTACCGGCATCTTTTCGCGCTGCATCTCTTCCTCAAATGTCAGCGGCCGCAGCGGGTTCCGCTGCCAATTGATGTTGAGGTCTTCGTGGAGACAATCAACAACAAAATCGAAAAATTCCTTGGCATCCTGCTGGCGGTCAATGGCCCATTCTTGGTTCAGTCGTCCACAGAAATTCCGAAATGAAGTCGGCATGATGACTTCCACGTCATTCTTCCACAAGGACCGGATCAAATTGGCGAACAGTCCTGGCATGACGCCTTGTGACCCCTTCCAGTTCTTTTGCACGTAGTATCGAAAGCGGTTATCAATAAAAAACTTGCTCAGCATGACCGTCGCACTCAGACATTGGATGGTGGAGTTCATGTAGCAGGTGACCCCAAAATTGGCCAACCCCGTGCGCGGAAGTTTGAGTCGACTCAACATGGAACTTGGGGTGTATAGCGCAGTTTTCGTGGCCGAGTTTTGGCGCTCCAGAGGAGGCTGAATCTGCCGGCCATCAGTGACCCCACTGTAGCTCGGACGTGGGACGGCAGGCGGAGGCCGTGATGGAGCGACGGGCACGGGTGCAGCGTAGTTAGGTACTGGTGGTACCGGTGGTCGAGCAAGTGGTGTCACCATGGACTGTTGGATAGCATGTGGTTCCGGGAAGCGGCGTAGGAAATCCTCATACGTATGTACGAATGGCGAAATAGGAGGCGCTTCTTCCCCAGTTTCTTCTTCCGGCTCCTCTGTTAACTCTCCCTCGCCAATGTATGTGCTGGTGTCAATTTCCTCATTTCGGGACTTTTCCATCCAGGCTGTGAGTTCCTCGGGGTTCAATGGCCGATACTCACGCAACCGCCGTTTCCGCACCTCCAAGCTAGAGTTAGCACTGACCATAGTCGGAACACGTCCCAGGGGTCGTCCTGGCCGCATGACGGGCCGTTTGTTTTGGATGGAGCCCATCACAGCTGCCGTGGACGACGTAGCAAGGGACTGCTGACCGAGGAGGTCAATCCACGCGTCAAGCCCCCCAAGAAGAAGCGCCGGAGGTCTTCCATCCTTTAAGGGTTTGTACGCGTTGAACTCATAAAGCGTATCATGGAGGGCCCGAAGATGTGGCGCGGTCGTTCCGACAGGGGAACCCGCGAGGTAGCTGACAGAGTCGGTGGTCTGGTCATAATAAACTATCAGGTCAAACTCGTTGCGCCGCTCGAACAAAGACTGTTCATGTTCGGGCGATACGACCAGGCGTTCTTCAAGCTCCTCCGCAGACACATTTTCCTTCAATGCCACCGGTTCGATACAGATGATGGACTTAGCGTAGACATGGCCATGATCAAACTGATCTCGAGAACGCACGTCGATCAACAGTACATTGTATCTTCGAAGGTATTCTAGCAAATCGTGGGCGGTCACGGTGTGGCTGTGTGGCAGATCTGCAGTATTGCTTCGAGGTTCTCTGACCGAATGTACGCCATTTGGGGTTCGTGACCGATAAGGATTATCGTCAAATCCGTTCCGAACAGGGCTTCCATGAGGAGACCCACGAGGGGAGTTTGCGAGATGCGAGTATCGGGGATTGACGGGACGCGAACTCTCTGTCGACGTCCTTGGAGGGTTTGATGGAGGTTGAGATGGTACTGTGAATATAGGACTATATGTAGGATCCGGTGCACGCGGCAGCGAAGTATTGAGGGGAATCTTTGGCGGTACTCCAGGGACACTAGTGGATGACCCCATGCTACGAGGACCAAGGGGTCGTCGCGATGGAGAGCTAAGGTTTGAACTCGGTAACGTTTGATGAATGGCAGAGGATGATCGGGAATGCGGATCGCTTGGTGTTGATGTTGGAGTTATCCCGTTTGGACCAGCAGCGAATGAAGTCGGCACATCTGAAGGAGGGGATGCCTTCAACTTAGCAAACCGTTGAGCCAGCTCATCTGCAGGAGTTGAATGTCGGCTGGGATTTGATTGAAGACTGGGTGCAGCTTGGAATTGAGATGGACTGGGCATCCGGATTTGACTGTCTCCAGGTTCATTCGTACGGCCGCGCGTACTATTCCCCTGCAGGTATCCAGCAGGTATCATCTCCGATTTTGGTCGCGAACGAGTCGGCGCTGGTGTGTTGGTCGGTTGAACATTACTCATGAGGTTATCGTCCAATATTTGTTGCTTAATATCGCCCATCGTCCCTTGCTTGGTCCGTACAGCCTGGACTCACCGAATTAGTTGAAATCCAAAAAGACCCAAAAACCCGGCCTTGTTCACGGCGAGATCAGCTGGAGTTCATACCATCATCAAGTCTGCAAACTGCTTATACCATGAAGGACGTTGCGTAACGGTGGTGCGGTAGTCGGGATGGTGGGGGATAACATTGATGGTGATCTCGGACGCACGAAGGTACTGGACGTAGGCTTTATCGGGTTCGTCATTGTCGGCATAGTCTCTCGCTTTGCCGATGGCCTCTCGTGCCTTGCCCAGCAACTCATCGAGCTGTAGGATTGTCAATTAGCGTTGAACAGTAGTGTCGTCGGCGCGGGGTATATATAGCGGGGCGTCGAGGGACTTACGGACGACGTTTCGCTAACATCTAAAGCGGCGGCCTGGTCTTGGAGGTCTTTGATATTCGGAAATCGAGGACGTCGTGACCCGATGGGAGATGCACGGCTACTATTCTGATAGGATCCTGTGCCGCCATTTTGCCTGCTGCCTGAGTAGACGCCGCCATGAGGCTCGGAGCGAGGATTGGTATTGTCCCATGGCGCGAAATCCGGAGGGGACGGTAGGGCCGCTGTATCTGGGAACATCCTACAGCGGGTACACCGAGCTAGTCCAACGCATGACCCAGAAAGAAGCTGGGACAAGTCGAGTTGTGTCGGGAGTCGGAGGTCGAAGCGGCGACCCGAGTAGTTGGAGAGCGACGCGTGGCAACCACAGAGGGACCAGACGGAACGAATGGGAGCTAAGTGGTCATCGAAAAGAACGTGAGAGTCTCTGACGGAAGGACGTACGGGAGATAGAGGAGAAGACGAGGATAGGCAGAGAACTAGGAGAGATGGAGAGATGGGCCGTCGTTGTAGCGGTTGATCTTCTTTCTCCGCCGCCGATTGTCTCTGGGGTAGAGCCTCAGGCAGCAACAGAAGGAGGTACGTCAACGGTACCTGGGGAAAGGCAGGCAATCACAGTGGGCAAGCAGGTACCAGTACCGTACTTTACCTGGGTCCCCGTATTGGGGACTCACCGCCTTTCAACGATGACGCCACAGTCCGGCGGACATGTCTTACGTAAGGTACCTCCTCATGTTATCCAGCTCGACGCATCGGATCTGCCTGGAATCTAACAGCTCCAGACTCCTCCTCTCCGTCATCCTGCATCTCTCCATGGGTTCTGCATAGTCTTGTCTTTATCCTCTTTTCTGTGTCGCTACCAATTTCTTCCTCTCTACGCAGATATTCCCCACCTCCTCGCGACGACCAAACGTCATAAGCGATCCTAAAGACACCTTCATCCCACATTCAACTAGACCGCCGTCCTGTCATCTCTGTCACCATGGCGGGCTGGTTTTCCTCAGCATCCCCGCTGGATGAGCAGGTAGAACGAGCTACTTCATCCTCTTTGTATGTTGCCCTTCATGCTGAGCTTCCTTGATGTTGGCTTAGCACCGCGATGATCACCAATCTGCATACTAATTAACACTGAGCGTAGAGAGGACATTGCCCTCAACCTTGAAATTTCCGATCTCATCCGGTCGAAAAGTGTTCAACCAAAAGAAGCGATGAGGTCCTTGAAACGCCGTTTGGAAAACAAAAACCCCAATGTACAGCTGGCGACATTAAAGGTGAGATCCCCCTTCCCCGCACCGCAGCCTCGTAACATCCTGTTGTGCATGCTAATAGGAATTCTCTTCTTAGCTCACGGATACGTGCGTTAAAAATGGCGGAACCCATTTTCTGGCCGAAATTGCGTCGCGAGAGTTTATGGATAACCTTGTCTCCCTCCTTAAAACGGAAGGTCTCCAGCTCAACACGGAGGTCAAGGAGAAGATGCTAGAGCTGATCCAGGACTGGGCTATGGCTGCCCAAGGTCGCATGGACCTGAGTTATGTTGGACAGACGTACCAGAGGCTTCAGGAAGAAGGATTCCGGTTTCCCCCCAAGACACAGATCAGCGGGAGCATGTTGGAAAGTAGCGCAGTAAGTGGTCTCTCCATGCGCATCACTGCACCCGTCTCCAACTAACGCAACTTCCCTCACTATAGCCGCCCGAGTGGATCGACTCCGATGTGTGTATGCGATGCCGCACAGCTTTCAGCTTCATGAACCGTAAGCACCATTGTCGAAACTGCGGCAATGTCTTCGACGCCCAGTGCTCTAGCAAAACTCTACCGCTGCCCCATCTGGGAATCTTACAACCTGTCCGGGTCGATGACGGATGCTACGCTAAGTTGACGTCCAAGGCCGCCCAATCGTCTGGGTTATCCGATCGGACCTCCTTCAAGAATAATTCGATCACAAAGTCGAGTGCCATGGAGCCCCGCACAGCCAGGGCCGAAGGCGGTTTCGATGACGACCTACGGAGAGCACTCCAAATGAGTCTAGAAGAGGCACAGAATAAGGGGTCCTCTGGTTACGTACCGCAGCCGAAGGTGGCACAGGAACCGCCAAAACCTTCTGGTCAACCGACCGCCGAAGAGGAGGAAGATGCAGACCTGAAAGCCGCCATTGAGGCGTCCCTGCGAGATATGGAAGAACATAAACAAAAGCATGCCGCGGCTTTAAAGAACACGACTTCGGAGACTCCTTCCCATCAACCACAGAATACAACTACTCTGCCCAAGAATCCATACGAGCTGAGTCCTGTTGAGGTGGAAAACATCCATCTATTTGCGGCCCTGGTTGATCGGCTACAACACCAACCTCCGGGCACCATTCTGCGTGAACCCCAAATCCAAGAGTTGTATGAGAGTATTGGCACACTCCGTCCCAAATTGGCTCGGAGTTACGGCGAAACTATGAGCAAACATGGTATGTAGTGAGACTTGTTTTTCTTTTTTTTTTTTCCTCTCACTATAGTGGATTCAGCGCTAACCACTGATGCTAGATACACTTCTTGATCTCCACTCGAAGTTATCCACCGTGGTCAGGTATTACGACCGCATGTTGGAGGAGCGTCTCTCCAGCGCATATTCGCAACACTCGTTAGGCTATGGTTCAATTCCATCTGGCCCTGGATACCCTAATGTCTACCCTTCCATGCCTCCTACGGCCGAAGGGAAAGCTGGCGCAGAGAATTTCTACTACGGAAATTCCGTCGTTGAGAACCCGCTTACTGCCAGTAACCCCCAGTACCCACAAGCCGCCCCTGATATGATGTCTCGTGAGAAGGACACCCATGCCAGGCGCCCCTATGAGCCCCAGTATGTATACACAGCCCTGCACAGCCTATCCACAACAATTCTTCAATGGAACGGTGCCCCCGCAACAGATCTGCATTCTCCTCCCCCGTCCGCCAATGTTCCATAATCATTACAAGGCCCTCGGCTTATC